ACTATCAGCACTCGTTCTGTCATCAGCATGTCATCTAGTGTGCTGGTCTCCACTACTGGAATAGCTCCCATAGCGATAGATTCCCACCTTAAACGATTAGAGTATAGAGAAATTTCTGTTAACATTCTCACGTTCGATGGCAATCAAGTCCATTTCCTCTTGGAGACAGAACGAACTGCATGGTTCCTATCTTCCGCAAATAGTCTTCAACTGATGTTCTAGTCTTGCTGGAAAAAACATGAGCAATTTTTATATGTTTGCGTTCGCAGAGAATTTACACGCAGTATGTCCAGTTATGATATCCAGAGCAGAAATAATCTTTTAGGGGCTTTCGCCTTATATCCGTATCAGCCATGAAACCAACAAACAGCCCTTTGAATATTTCAGCTGTACTTCTGGAAACGAAATCAAACATTTTCGAGAAAAATTTGATTTAGAACTTCTTCTCTTTCCCTATTCTCAATAGACGTTCCTGGTTCCCATGCACCCAATGTGCGTTGGCTATCCCGATCGGGAGACCTTCCAGTTTGGGATGGCGATAGTCAGTATTTTGACCAAACCATCGAATGAGGTATGGATCGCTGAAAGAGATAACTTTCTGAGCTAAAAAATGATCGCCTACTCTAAATAGTGTCGGAAGTTTCCAGGAACAGACAGATCATTATCATGAGTAATCAGAATGTAGAAATTTCGGTTTCTAAGCTGGAACTCTCTGACCGCCCAGAGTAATGAGGGTTCGATGAAAATGATGGAACCATTTTCTATTTTGTATGTCTGAAAAAGGACCAGTCAATAGATATTAGAATATAGAACAACCAGCTAACTTCGCGCATAAATCAAAATAAAATCAGAAGTGAAAGTTCATGAATGTAGTGAAGACACGTGCGTGCAAGTATGAACAGTATTAGAATGAATGCAACTCACATGAATTAACTGATAAGCCTGTTTTTCCGTATAAATTACGAAGTTCGAGATAGACCGGAAAAAATCGCCGGAAACAAACGGATCTTCCTGCACAGCAACCAAGTTCTGAAAACCAAAAAGTAATTTGAAAAACTGAAACGTTCACTAACCGGAATGAATACAAAGACTTTCACTATGAAGTAAAGTAGAACAACTGTGTAGAGAAAGGTAAGTTTCACCTCATCCTGCAGTTTCAAATGAAACGTCATAGTTCAGCGTATGAGTCTATTGCGTTGTTTTAGGTGAAATGAGGCTGCGATTTTGGGGGTCGTTGGTTACTTAATTGTTTCGCATTTCACAAGATGCAGATCAAGATGAGATTTGCAGGAGTGCAATCTAACACATTGGCGAAGTTAAATATTTAATCATAAAAACAACAACAACTCTATAAGATCTACCGTTTTTGTTTCCGACCAAGTGCTCAGGTGAAAACATTGTTAAACAATTTCAATTGTAGCTCCTGCTTTCTCAAGCAATGCCTTCAACTCATCAGCTTCTCCTTTACCCATATCTTCTTTTACAACAACAGGTGCGGTCTCAACGAACTACAAAAGAAAGCTGGATGAGACAGAAAAAAAAGAGTCATTAACCTTCTTAGCTTGGACAAGATTCAATCCTGGGACGGCTGACCGAATTTCCTTAATGAGGGCAATCTTTTTGGTATCATCGAACTTCGTGAGTTTAACAGTGAATGTGAGTTTCTGAGGGACATCTGACTCAGCAGCGGCTTCTTCAATAATTAGAATAGTTAAACTGAATATTAGCTTCGATTAAGAACCTGCAGGAGCAGCAGCGGGGGCAGCAGCCATCATCATGCCTGGAGCCATAAGGGGCTGATCGGGAATATTGAGGCGTTTCTTCAAAGCCCAGTTGAGGTCTGATACCTTAACAATTTCAATTAGAAAATGGTATGAGACTGTCGTTTACATCCAATAAACTAAGATTAGCGATTTCTTCTACTAAAGACGAAATTTTAGGAGAGATTTGACGATCGTCTGATGGAAGAGGGGCAGCAGCAGCATCTGCGACTGGTGAAGCTAAATGAGTTTATTATAGTTACTCTTGCAAGTTAGAATGTATAATAAAGATTATGGGTTCAAAAACGGGAGGGTTCGAAAATTCCATTTACCTGCATTTCTAGAAACTGAGCTAGATGAGAGTAATCTAATGGAAGCTCTACTGGAAGAAGCAGTTACTCTAGCTAAACACTTGGCCAACATTATCTATAAAAGAAAAAGTAGATTGATTAGAAAAGTAATCAAAGTGTCAAAAAAATTGAAATGTGAGCTTTCTGTCTGAAGATGTATTTGCACGCAGTAGGGGCCAGTACCAAGTTTTATTTGCGCATTTCTGGTGCCCGAGTAACGGCTTATATTCTGATCTTTACTAGATTTATTCGTAGTAGACCGGTTGTGTTCCGTTTTTGCGCTGTGCAGTTCATGACTTTTTGTTTCTCGATACTAAATTTTTATCATTTTCAGTTAAAACACATTTTATGAATATTCAACCCAACGCTTAAGCTACATAGTTTTCTTCGGCTTCATTGTGAATCAGCACCATAAACTGACAAGGTTTGTTATCATGTTTTCGAGTTTGTTTGTGTGTGGCATGTGTTAGCTTATCGTTTTTGAATTTTTTTATTGTCTTTGAGCCGTGGTGTTTCAGCATGGGCATGAGCGGAACGCTTATAGCCGGTGTAGCGGGCGCCACGGCTCTGGGCATCTCAATGGCCGCAATTCCGTTTGTAACGCCAGCCCTTCGTCGTGTGTGCATTCCTTATGTTCCTGCGACCCCAAATCAGTTGGCTAATGTAAAGCAAGCCTTAGCGCAGACCAAAACTAAAGGTCCGCTTATTGATCTGGGATCTGGAGATGGGCGTGTTGTGAGTTTATTTGAATCTTTTCTTTTCAGATGAAGTTTGGAGAACAGTTGGCCAGTCACTTAACTCCAGAATGGCGGAAGCAATATATAGACTATGAGGCTTTGAAAAACCTTTTGTATGACAATATGCTACAAGTTCCTTCTGAAGAAGACCGTAGGGATGAGCACATATCTCAGATGGATGAGAAGTTCTTCAATGCCGGCGAGAATGAACTAACGAAAATCAATTTGTTCTTCTCGCAGAAGATTGCCGAGGCTCAAGGAAAATATCACGAGCTTCAATCAGAGCTTCAAACTTTTAAAGAAGTTTTAGAGAAACGACAGGAGCCTACTAGTAGGCTTCGAAGCCGATTCGGCGGAAAAGATAAGCTCGTGAAGGAAACCAGCAAAACAGATCAACAGTTGAAACTCGCTTTTTCTGAATTTTACTTGTCTTTAGTTCTTGTTCAGAACTATCAACAGTTGAATGCTACTGGCTTTCGGAAGATTCTGAAGAAGCACGACAAGCTCACTGGAAATGAAAGAGGATTGGAATGGAGAATCACCAAAGTCGAGAAAAGTTCATTCTTTTTGAACAGAGAAATCGAGACACTCATCACTAATGTTGAGACATCCGTTATCAATGACTTAGAAGGAGGAAATCGCCAAGCAGGAATGAAAAGGTTGAAAGTGCCTCCTCTATCTGAGAAACAAAAGCCGATAACAACGTTTTCACTAGGACTATTCATGGGAGCTAGCATTATTTTGCTCATCGGAATTCTATTTTCATGGCTAGGATCAGCCCCTAGAGATAATGAACCAAAATGGGTAGCCGTTCGTCTATTCCGTGGACCGTTTCTTCTTTTCCTCTCAATTTTCTTGTGCGGAGTCAATATGGCAGGCTGGGCAGGTGCTGGAGTTAATCATGTTCTCATTTTCGAAGTGGATCCCAGGAATCATCTAACCTATCAAACGCTTATGCAAATAGCCAGTTTCATGATCATGCTCTGGTCGGTTGCTGTTCTAGCTTATCTTTACGCACACTTACTGCATATCCCACCATTCTTACCACCTTTACTACTCATGGTCATTTGTTTCCTGATTCTACTGAATCCGTTCAGTAAGCCTAACTCAGTATGCCATCGAAGCTCACGGTTTTGGCTCATCAAGCACTGTTACTACTGCTTCACCGCACCTCTACACTTTGTCACATTCACTGATTTCTGGCTTGGAGATCAGATGAACTCACTAACAACGGCCTTTTTGGATCTTCAGTACTTTGTTTGCTTTTATGCCACAGAAGTTAGCTATGACTCAGAAAATTTCATGAACGTTCAAGTAATCAATTCAACGACAGGAGCAGTGCCGTGGGGTCGCGTAGACATGAGCACTGGCAAGGATATGTGCATGTCGGTTTCTGGCCTTCGATCTTTTGTTTCTATCATCCCAGCAACAGTACGTTTCATGCAATGTCTTCGTCGTTATCGAGATACAAAACGAGTTCATCCTCATCTCGTCAACGCAGGAAAATATTCCACTACCTACATTGTTGTTATCTGTGGAGCATTGAACAAGTGGGCTGAGAAAAATAATCCAAACGTCACTTCACCTTTCTTCTACATCTGGATTGCCAGTTATATCCTTTCTTTCACCTACACCTTCCTTTGGGATATCTTCATGGATTGGGGACTGATCGATCCTCGTGCTCCAAAAGAAGCACCTTTCCTGCGTGAAGAGATGATCTACGGAAGCAAATGGTATTACTACGCTGCCATTGGCCAGGACTTTGTACTTCGTCTTGCTTGGGTACTCAACGTTTCCTTAGGAGAAGCTTGGACATTAGATTCGGATTTCTTAACGACAGTAACTGCCCCTGCAGAAGTTTTCCGTCGTTTTGTTTGGAACTATTTCCGTCTGGAAAACGAACACGTTAACAATTGCGGTCAATTCCGTGCCGTTCGTGATATCTCAGTAAAGCCTATTAGGAAAGGAGATTTGGATTCTTTACAAGCAAAAATGGACTTGGCCGATGGAGTCACTCATCGTGGAGCAGATTTGGCTGAAAGACAGAAGAAGCAAAAGAAAGCACAGAAGTCGACAAGACAACTGCTGAAGAAAGCACGCTACAATCGTCAAGTAGCGTCTAGCCAACCCTACAATGTTACAGTGACGTTGGTAGAGACTCCCCAATAGGGAAACAATTCAAATTAATAGTTTATATTTAAGAGTAGAGTTTATTTACGATGTTTAGTGCACAGAGCTATTTATGATTTTCACTTCCATGTCAATTTGTGTGTGCAATAGTTGTTGTCCATCTCATGGTTTTCATTCCGTTATCAAATCAGTTATCCAGTTTAACTTACTGATATTGTATTTGCTCATTCCTCTTCACAAATTTCTAGTCTTATTCCACCCATGACTTTAATTGTATTAATATCTTTCCTTCTCCTCACTCTCTCACTCCCTTCACTCTCTCTCTCTCCCTCTCTCTCTCTCTCTCTCTCTCTGTTAATAGAATGTTGTATGAAGCGAAGCTCGGCAATAGATTTTAATAATTCTGGGTTTTTTTTGTTTCAATCACCGAATAACCATCAGACAACACACCTCCGACTACGACTGGCCAACTGTACTTCAATCTTACTGAAGGCACACTGCAGAACACTTTCTATAACTTATTTATAGGTTCTACAATGTGCTCAAGAAGGATATCAGAGTACCGGTGTCGAGCTCAACTCTATATTGGTTGCCTATTCGAAGTATGTAGCAGCACGTCAAGGGCTGAGACAACACGCGAAATTCCATAGGTTTGTTACCTATTTCCTATTTTACTTATGATCTGATTATAGACGGAATATCTTCAAGACGGATCTCACTGCGTACAACACTGCAGTCATCTTCGGAGCAGAAAGCTTGGTGGGTACCTAAATGACATCACTTCTCACCAAATCTAAATTCAGATGCAAGATCTCGTGCCGAAACTATCAGAGATGAAATCGGGTTCCAACTTGCTTGCCTGTCGTTTCCCACTACCCGAGAATGAGTATTACAAAGAAGTTCTGCAAGTGGGTGAAGGGATTGACGCAGTCTGGGTATATTTCAGGAAATAGCATTAGTTTTAAGTTCTAGGATAGTTGTTCGTAATGTTGTTGAAGCCATTTGTTGCATTTGTTTGTCGTTCATAAAGATTTTTTTCCGAAGGCTCCAAAGATATTATCGCATAGAGGTCGAAGCGTTCTATTTGTCTTGTTTATACAATTTATCTCTAATCTTCCTTAAGATATGGCATTCTTACATGCTAGCAAGTTATTATGGAATGCAAGTAGAGCAAGGGCCACATATTATCAGCAAGGAAAAAAATTTCCACCAGTTTTCGTTAGGTTGGCAGATGAGCTCTCGCAGATTTGGGTTATACTTGTTCCTATGTTCTAGACGATTCATGCTTCGATACCCAAATGCTCACTTATGGGCTGTCTTTGTTCTATGTTCTTCAGCAATGGTTGGACCAGTGTTACAATCTGTATGAGATTGAACTTTATTTAAAATCATCCTTAAGTTCATTCTTATAACAGGTTTACCTATATCTTACGATGTCAGAGGACGAATTCAATACATACAGAGACGAGAAAACTGTTTTAGTTAGAGAAAGACAGAAATATGGTGTGATTGACATCCCATCCATCTCATAAATTTTCATTTTTTTTCAGGTAAAAACCTATGGTTTCCCTTCCTATCATCTAATAAGACAGAATCTGATGTACAGAGTAATTCAAATTAACCTTTTTCTAGCAGGAAATAAACATTACAGATCTTTAAACGTCTATTATTTGATCTCTTCATTGAGATGACATCGAAAGTGGAATTGTAAAACAAAAATCTCTCGCATTTATCTTTATTTCACTTGGAAAGCAACCGCTCTGATAGGATTTTGGAAATAGAATGAATGAAAGTGGTGCCACTGTGCGGTTCACGTGACACTCGCGTGGGTTTCACGCAACAAACTGAGGGATGACGAAATGCTTTGAGTTTTTTTTGCAAATTTTCGAAAAACAATCGTTTCATTATTTTTCGTGAAGAGTGAGCGAGAGCTACATAGAAAGATCTCGTGAGTACTTCTATCAAGAATCAATGAGATAGACCCATGTCCTACTATTATCGATGATAACCTCGATAATGCACGTTAAAAATGAATTGTCCTTAGCACATTCTGTTCACGTGAAGAGCGCATGCGTGTCCTTCTCAGCTGTTCTATTCTAACCGTCATCACACTACAACTGTCGCTATTCATGCCTTCAGATGGAGCCAATTGTTACAGCACATCTCAGCATGTAGGACAAGTCAAAGTGCTGACCAGATTGTGTTTTCCATCCTGATTTTACTATGAAAAATATAGTTCTCAACCATTGAAACAGCGTGACTACCATCTAGCCCTACAAACAGCACACTCTCAAGCTATTCCTTCACATTTCTCGCTGTTTATTTTGCCATCTTGTTGATGTTCGCAGTTGTTTTGAAGTCTCATCGTCTCATCATTCATGAGATTCTATGTTAATCTGCTCACCTCTGTTCACACAAATGATCTTCGACAATCGCGAGCCTGAAAAGCTATTTTTTGATAATTTTTAATGGTGATCTTTAAAAAAGATTGTAATGTTTGCAGACTATGAACATACTTAAATAGACAACATGAGACTGTTTACTTCAATGTTAACCTGGTAATAACCTCTGATCATTAGAGTTCTCAGCCTCTTTAGTTTCTTGCAGTACCAAATAAGGTTATAACTTGTTAAGTTGACGTAAACTGACGTCTTATCACGTCTATATATAGCATATTCGTCGTACTTTACAACTACAATGTTATTCTTTAATTCATTTATAAAGACCATGGCGCTATGTTGGCTTTCTGCTTTCCATGTTCATCCATGTCCAAGACATCATTGGATGTCGTCGTTGTCGTCCAAAATAGGTTCATTCTTTTTTCTCTGAATTCTTCTCACATACCCAAAACTTGTCGGTGTACAACTGAACCTGACTGATCTTTCGGAGTTGTTCTTTTATCACCACACAGACACACACTCTCTCTATCTATCTCTATCTCTCTCTCTCTCTCTCTCTCTCTCTGTTACCCCACCCTCTCACTCACACACATTCTTTTCTTCTCTCTTCCTTTCTTTAAAAATCTTTTCTTCTTTTTGCATCCTTTGCAGCAGCAGCAATACAACCTTTGAAAATCATTGTGCGGTTTTGTTCCATTGAAGATTCACAACTCATCACTGGTATCCATCATCAGTCCATAGACCGTTGTGTCCTCTGTTGTAACTTCTTCCATCGTTTATTTGTTATTACGAAGTCCCATCATGTACGTGCCCTCCATTGTTTTGCTCTGAACAGTCGGTTCTTCTAATTCTCGAGATTTTACATAAATCTTTCTTACTCACCAGAGGTCAGTTGGGGGAATATCCGTGATCATTGCTTTGTTTCTCTCACAATCAATACTTGTTTCGTTTTTTTCTGTTTCTCATTCAGCATTCGACAGCCATACAAGTGTTCATTAGGTTATCTATTTCAGTTCATATTGCTCCGAATAGAATGGTTCAGCTAATCACTCGAAAAGTTAGCTATCCAGGCTTGCCGTCCAAGTCAAATCCTGATTTCCGTAAAGAATACAAGGGCTCTGTGTATGTTTACAAACGATCCTTTGTGATTCATCTTCTCTCTCATTTGCAGATTGGAAGAAAAGTTTCAAGAAAGTAAAAAGATTTCTGAGACATGGAAAGTTTGGAAATATCTGAGTGATTGGTTTTTCACGAAACCTTCTGAACAGCCTACGTCTACTGTTGACTTGTCTCCTATTGAGGTAATTGATGATTCTACAGGATATGTTCTACAACAATGCTCATAGATGCTACCTCCTGAGATGTTACATCAGATACTTAAAGAAGTGGACGGAAAAACTTTGCTTCAGTGTCGTGAAGTTTCTAGAAGATGGAAATGTATGGCTGAACATATCCAAAACAGACAAAACAGTCTTCCAGTTCTAAATGTAAAGCCATATCATATGATCACATAATCTATATCTTCATCTTCAGGTATCTCGCCTGATGGTACAAGGCACCAAGAAAGGCGGACTGGAGTTACGATGGGTTGATTATGATCGTCAAGTCTCCAGAAATATTGTTTTGTCTCAAACTGAAATACAAAACTGTATTGATTTACGACATGCTTTCAAACGATTCGCTATTCAACGTCTTGTGATAACTGTAAGTTCATCTTACTTTCTAGAGCTTGAGGATTCAAACGATCTTTGCAGAAAACAGCTTTGACGGATGAACTCATAACCTTTCTACGATTCCAAATGTCCGAGACAGATTTGTCAACGATTCACAGCTTATCGTTGGTGTCCATCGATATGCAAACAGCCAAGTCGTTAACACTACACAAGTTACTAGCAATGATTTCAAAGTCTTTAAAAGAATTAGAGGTGATCTCATCAAATGGGGGAACACAGTTGAACATGTCATTACAGATTCAAAACTGCTGTAACATGAATCCAATGAGTTTGACTGATAGCCATATTGAGCAACTCAATCCTACACTAGTGAGACGAATCACCATTGATGGTGTGAAATTCGGTAAAACAGCCAACAAAAATCGCAAGACGGAGCCGGCTCTCCACATTGGCGACAAAACGCTTCAACGATTTGCTGAACATGGCAACTTTCCTATTCTCTTATTGGATCAATGCTCCGTCTCCACAGACATGGTCTGTAATTACACTCAGGTGAATAAAAAAAATGATTTTCATCTCAAACACAACCGCTTTGGGAGAGCATCAATCTATAAATGATGTTTTTTCCATTTTCGTTGAAAGACCGGTATTTTCGCGCACTTTTCAAAGTTATCAACGAAAATTTTCGATTAATAATAAGAACGTTGTATAAGATTCATCTTCGAAATGTAAAATGATTCTTTCAGACATGGCTGAGTCACGTGCCTGATGAGCATACGGGATTACCACTATCTCAGGTAGATAGACATACTGAACTTTCGTAGCTTACGCAAGTCATTATAGATTTGCACAGTCAAAAGGTGTCCACGGGTACAATGCTCTGAATTTGAAAACGAATGTCAGAAGCGAGGCCTCTACTGTGCTAACCGAAGAGGAAGTGAAAGTTTAGTGATATATAATATTCAGAAGAACGCAGAGAAGACGGTAAGACATGGCTCCTACTAAATGCATCTTTCTGATTCGAATGATCTTTCAGATGGTCACTTTGTCGTTAGCAATGAGTCCTCCTGAGAACAGCCAGGATTCTAATATTAAACCTTCCGCATAATATCTTCCGTAGTAATTTAATTGATAAAAAATTTGAAACTTTCATGTTTGTTCAAAGCAGAGTACATTTCATCTTCAATTCATTATCATATCACCTTTGATCGAAAATTTATAAGATATGCAGGAAGGAGTGTTGCGATCTGAGATTGAAAGAATTCGATTCCGGAGATTGTCTCAGCCAATCGTGATCATTGCAATTTGAATCGAACGTCCTCTAACGAGTGAAAAGAAAAATAACAAAACGACGACATGCGTTCCTTATTCCATTCCGCCTTTTCTCTCCCTTGTTCATTACTTCATATGTTCACAGATGGTAGCATACGATAATCCTTCGGGCATGGGTTATCAAACATTATTACAAGACGCCCCGCATCATCAGACAATCATAAAACTAATTAGGAGCCTAATTAACAAACTCTGATAGTACTGCAAATATCTTCAAAGCTTCAAGCTTGCGCCATGGTGCTTCCTTATGTGGTAGTGTGGGTAGTTGTGCAAACATCGTAAATTCTGAGCTACCATTTCCAAATTTCCAGTATGTGGGGAGCCAGTTGTAAAAAACGAGGAAAACAAAACATTGTTGTGAAATTTGTCCTCTCACCTTCTCTTCTACTCTCTTCAGGAATCTCAATCACTTAACGAGCTTCCTCATTCTCTCTCCCCCTACGCTCACATCTGATCCCATCATAACACTGACTTTCTACATCACCTGCACTACAACACTTTTTTAAATTGTTTTTTGTGCTCTCGCTCTCTTCATCAAACATCAAGAATCAGTTCGTTCTGCCATTGGAGTCCTCCAATGGCAAATTTTTTTTTTTTTAATAACGAAGAATGCATAGAACTGAAAGGTTCGTTCAAATCAAGTTACAGGAACTTCCCGCGCGCGGGCCACGCCAGTTTCGAATAATCGTGGTGCAGATGTTCAGTCGTAATCATTGTTCTTTGCCTTAGAAGAGAGATAGAACGACGCTCCTCGATATGGAAATGTTTTTTAGAACCTTTCCTTTCCTCTTCTTCTCTAGTGGAATTTCTTTTTACCAGCAGCAGTTGGTTGTTTTTCGAATGAAGATATATGAGATTTCGTTTCTTGTTGTCTGATCGTTTTTTCGTCGTTCAGCCTCTTTGTTTGTTCGCTTTCTCAATGTTTTTGTATAGAGTTCCTAACCATGCAGCGTATTAACAGCACTTATGTGGTCAAAAGAGGTTTGTGCTTCATACTCTCTCAGATTTACTTTTTTCATTATCAGATGGCCGAAAGGAAGTTGTACATTTTGACAAAATAACAGCTCGCTTGAATAAGCTTTCGTACAACCTGAACATGGACTACATTGATCCCGTAATCCATTTTGTTGTTCTCAGTATCTTCATCAATTGATTTCCAGGTTTTGGTTACAATGAAAGTTATTGGTGGACTTTACAAAGGAGTCCCAACCGTTGAGCTTGACAATCTGGCTGCTGAAACTGCTGCTTCCATGACTACTCAGCATCCAGATTACGCCATACTTGCTGCTCGTATTGCTATTTCTAATTTACATAAGAAGACCAATAAGGTTTGTCGTGTAATTGTACTTTCATGATGATTATTCTGTTTTTCCAGGTTTTCTCCGAGGTTATGGAACGCTTATATAACTTCCGCTCCAAGTACACTAACGAACATGCTCCCATGATCAGTAAGGAAACTTATGATATCATCATGAAGAATGAGGATGTAAGGGTTCTTCCATCATACCAACAAGACGAAAATCTTTTTCAGCGTTTGAATTCTGCCATTGTCTATGATCGTGACTTCTCCTACTCATATTTTGGATTTAAAACACTTGAACGCTCTTATCTTTTAAAGATTAACAAAGAGGTAAACGATAATGATGTTATTTACTCAAAAAGGAAATCTACAGGTAGTTGAGAGACCACAGCACATGCTTATGAGAGTTGCTGTTGGAATTCACGGAGAAGATATTGATAGTGCTATTGACACCTATAACCTTATGAGTGAAAGATATTTCACCCATGCCTCACCCACTCTATTTAACTCTGGAACATGCAGGTTAGGAGTATCTGCTTGTGCTTGTCATACAGACCTTTTCCAGACCACAAATGTCATCTTGCTTCTTACTAACAATGTCCGAAGATTCCATTCAAGGTATCTATGATACCCTGAAGCAATGCGCCTTGATCTCAAAGAGTGCTGGAGGAATCGGAATTAATGTTCATAAAATCAGAGCTACCGGATCTATTATCAATGGAGTGAGTAACGTCTTCATGTGCACTTATACTGTTTGTTCTTCAGACCAATGGAACATCTAATGGACTTGTACCCATGCTTCGTGTGTTTAATAACACTGCTCGTTATGTTGACCAAGGCGGTAACAAGCGACCTGGTGCCTTTGCCATTTATCTCGAGCCTTGGCACGCTGATATCTATGAGTGAGTTATCATTCAACATATTAATAGAACATTGGATCTCTTAGGTTCATCGCTCTTCGCAAGAACACTGGTCCTGAAGAAGAACGAGCTAGAGATCTTTTCTACGCTCTCTGGATTCCCGATCTGTTCATGAAGAGAGTCGAGAGAGATCAAGATTGGTCCCTCATGTGTCCCAAGGAATGCCCAGGACTCGATGATTGTTGGGGAGAAGAGTTTGAAAAGCTCTACACCAAGTAAGCAGCTTAATTATATCGGATATAAGTGATTGCTACAGATATGAGGAAGATAAATGCTACCGTAAGCAGGTTAAGGCTAGAAAGCTGTGGGAGCAGATCGTTTCAAGTCAAATCGAGACTGGTCTTCCCTACATCGTCTACAAGGATGCCTGTAACAGAAAGTCTAATCAACAAAATCTTGGAACTATCAAATGCTCTAATCTCTGTACTGAGATTGTTGAGTACAGTAGTCCAGATGAGATTGCCGTATGTAACTTGGGATCTATTGCTCTCCCACGTTTCGTCACACCCGAAAAGACTTTCGATTACGAGAAACTTCACTTAGTTACTAAGGTATGATCGACATTAAAACGATTTTAGATTCTCTCTGCTTCAGACACTCACTAAGAATCTCAACAAGATCATCGATGTTAACTATTATCCTGTCGAAGAAGCTCGTCGTTCTAACATGCGACATCGTCCAATCGGTCTCGGAGTACAGGTAAGAAGAAATGTCTGCGTTGTGTAATTGAAAATTCATATCTAGGGACTTGCTGACTGTTTCATGTTGATGAGATATCCATTTACCTCCAAAGAAGCTCGTGACTTAAACAAACGTATCTTTGAAACAATTTATTACGCTGCTTTAGAAGCATCTTGTGAACTAGCTGAAAAGCTCGGTAAGTCCTCAGTAGCTTAATCGAAGTAACTCTAAACCATTCTAGGACCCTACGAAACCTATGAGGGATCGCCAGTCTCAAAAGGAATTTTACAGTATGATATGTGGGGTGTAACTCCAACTGACCAGTGCGACTGGGAAACTATCAAAGAGAAAATTAAGAAGCACGGAGTTCGCAACAGTCTTTTGCTTGCTCCTATGCCAACTGCTTCTACTGCCCAAATTCTTGGAAATAACGAATCTATTGAGCCCTACACTTCCAATATTTACAGTCGTCGTGTACTTTCTGGTTAGTTTGATTGATCAGTTCTCTAACACTTAATTTCTTTCCAGGCGATTTCCAGATTGTCAATCCACATCTCCTTAACGATCTTGTCGAGCTTGGAATATGGACAGAAGAGACCAAGAATATGATGATTGCTCATAATGGCTCCATTGCTAACATTCCCGGAATTCCTGATGATATCAAGGCTCTTTACCAAACTGTATGGGAGTTATCTCAGAAGGAGATTATCGAAATGGCAGCTGACCGTGGAGCTTTCATTGATCAATCGCAATCATTGAATATTCACATTGCTCGACCAAGTTATGCTAACATCACATCCATGCACTTCTATGGATGGAAGAAGGGATTGAAAACTGGAATGTACTATCTGCGTACAAAGCCAGCTGTAAATGCAGTACAATTCACTGTAGACAAGAAAGCTCTGCAGAATAATGAAGTGGTAAGCATGTAGTAGAGAACGAAGTTGTAAAATGGTCTTTATAGGACAACCAAGCCTCCAGAATGGCAAAAGCCACCATTGAGGAGGATGAAGGTTGCCTCATGTGCTCTGGATAAGCCATACTTTTTAATCGATCTGTGAGCACTGGTTTGCTCACTACTACATACTGATCTATATACCCGACTGGTATTAATTGTCTTATTTTGCCTATTTCCACTTATCATCACATATCATCTTGTACAATTCACCTTCATGTCTGAATAAATCGTGCTGGTTTTCCAAGTGTTGGTTTCATTTTTTGATATGCGCAATCTAGATTTGGATCGAGCTTTTCAACGTTTTCTAATGCTTGGGTGCAACTATGAACATAACTGGTTGTTTGATCAGTAGTTGAAAGTCGTGCTTATTACAAAGCAGTAGATCATATTAATACAAGACCAGTACCAATTAAAGAGGTAGAGCTCGTGTTCTGTCACTCAAAAAAGGATCAGCTTGGCTCAGTCTGTTGACACATCTGGAAGGACATGCTCTGTTTGTGCTCCGCTTTATCATAAAGCTATTTAGCTGGGCATAAATCATGGCAAATAGCTGCTTTCGTACCGAACTTGAACGCCAGTTGTCATCAGTATGCAAAAAAGCGTCATTTTCAGTTTCTCGTTTCGATAATCTATTCTTATAGTTTTTGACCTGATTGATTGTCCTACAAGCTTTGTGTGAGAAGGAACCGGGAGTGGGCAAAGGATAGGCTGGCTGACGAATTCATTGAAGCCTGCTTATCATTCTTCCTTAGTTTATGTGATAGTTTGTTTTTATTTTGATTACCAGTTAAGTTTTCAAACTCTTACTTTCCATATTCACACTCCAGCACTGTGAAAATGAAACTTGATGAGTTTCATAGTGTCTCACTAGCCCATTTCACAGCTACTTGATTCCATCCTTATTTGTCTGAGTGTTTTCGTCCAACACTGTGAGGTGTATTGAAGCTGCGCTTTCTCCCGCCTGTCCATTACCCCCACATTCACTGAATCCTTGGAAGTTTCTTCTCAGTTTCACTGTTTGCCCTTGGAAAACCATCTCAAACTTTCTTTTTTCAGTCCTTTTTCCTGTTTTTTCCACTTTTGTTTATCTTATCTCACAGATGTAGTACGATTGAATATCGATCACGGAACGCTGAAAACAATCTCAACAGATTTCTATTATCTCGCATTTGCATATCTATTAGATGCAAATGAAGGCGCGGATAATCAATTGAAGAGAAGATTCATAGGTGAACGTTCGTTCGGTTGCATTCGAAACGAATGTCCTCATTTTCGAATAACTGTTGGAGTTTCAACAAACACAACATCTTCGTTATTCATTTTTAACTTTTGCTCACTTGTTGTTATGGACCTTACTCTACTTCGCTCTCTCTCCATTTTCTCTCTCTCTCTCTGTCTCTCTCTCTCTGTACTCTCTCTCTCTCTCTCCATCTCCCTCTCACATTGTTCCTTGAATTGATTTCTTTTCTTGTAATGCATACTCAAATAACTTTATTATGATTACATTATGCAGCCGTCGAACCTTGTTGCTGTTCTCGTATGAGCCAAGCAAACTTCAATTAGGGAGAAACGTCATAAGCTATGTCAATTTCTTCTTATCACTGGTATTTTGATTCTATGGATTGTGGCTATTTCCTCCGAATATTTATAGCTTCATACTCATAGTTACTCTTCATTGACTGTCTTTCATATCAGAAAGAGAGCTCTCTACCTCATTCAACTTCATATCCTTCTACTTCCCTGATGGAATGTTTGATGCTCGTAATCCAAAGATGGTATCATGCACACATGGATTACGAGTTCTCATTTTGACAATCTATGGCGCATTAGCAGTCATCCTGTTATGGTTTTATTCAAATTCAAACATAGCAGAATTATCAAATAGGTGAGTGAGAAAACAATAGACTGCATCTCAACTGCAATCTCTCTCCATCTTCAGATTCATACAAGTAATTAGTGTAAAGAATGATTTCGTGTAAGTTTAGAACATCCTTTGTTAATCAGCTTACATTTCAATCATTCAAGTTTTGATCAATACTACATGACCAACTCAACATATCAGAACTACTGTGTTTATGAAAATGTCATCAAGCCAACTGTCGTCGACTATAATCGCATATCACAGATTGTACATATGAGCTCCAATCTGCTAGACATACGTCTGGTAGAACAGGTAATGAACCAATTTATAAAATAGAATGACTATAAGAGGGAAGAAAATAACAACAAAGAGATTGCTTTAAGATACTCAATTGGAATGCTCCATTTACTGTTTCCATATTCCTCAACGAAGTAAATGATTACGGATGTGTGCTTAACACGGTATCATCAATATGTCTGTTATCATATTTTTCCCTGTTTCAGCTAAATGCTCTTTTATCTGCTTACCCAGTTTGTTTGAAATATCTAACTGTTCATATAGTTTTTCCTAATCACTGGTCGCCCAACTGTTTTCTTCTTCCTAATACTACATGTAATGAAGTATCCAAATCTTTACGAGTACAACAAATGGCTGCTTATCCGGCTAATGTAATGAGAAATATAGCTAGAATGGTTTGATATGCTATTAGTTCATTCACAATCAATATCTTCTCTTTAAGTATTCCTCTTCTAAATATATCCTGATCGCGGATTTGGAACATATGTTTTCAGCTAACTTCGAAGAAGATGTTAGACATATAGCCGATCGAGTGCTTTCCAATGACCCTAAACGCCTCTTAGTCTATCGCATATTCGAAGTTGAACAGAATATCTCAAGGTGAATGCATTCTCCTTAAATATGCTAATGAGGATGTTTTACGTGAAACTCGTCGAGACGTATGCTCATTCACTTTTAAATTCAAATGACGCTCAAAACGGTTGTGTCTCAAGAAAGAATATATATTCGAAATAGTATTAAATAGAATTATTATTATAGCTTACCTCATGACAAGAAGGATTTGTTCGAACTGTTCAAGAATGGACAAGCTGTTGTCTTTCATGAGCGTTACTATAAAGGTAGTACAAGAAATATAAATTAGAAAAGATATCATAAATTACATAATTACAGGTGCTCACAACATCGACAATCTAGGTAGTTGGTTTCAAATGAAAAAACAAGAAAGAGGCATATCTGTTTCTAATTACGGTTATTCAATGTCGTCGTGGGAGCCACAGTTTGTGTCATTGAGCTCCATACCCTATCATGACGAAAACTTCCCATTTCTCATACGGGACAACACGGAGCTCGTAAGTAGATGTTGTATTACTTAGAACTTTGAACTAGGGAGTGGAGATAAAAAAAATTTAATAATTTAAGCGATGGGAATTGTGTAGAGCAGGATATGCGATAGACATCCTCTCTGATCACTTTGTCTATCATCGAGGTATTAAGACAGCTCTATCAGCCGGAGTAATTCCACGTCAAATTCAAGCAATAAATACAAGAAAGTAAGTAAAATATAATTATTTATTAAATGAATAACATCTTCCAATGGCTATTCCATTTCAGATTTCAAAATGCGTTGGAGAAGTTTAATGAACGAATGGCCAAAAGCTATCCACAAACAAATGATAAATGTCCAACATTTCAAGCAAAATAATAAATGGATTCATTTGATTTATCTTATCATACTATTTGTCATAAATTATGTGAAAATCACGTTGGAAGTTTCATCTTCTTTATTCTCAACTCGAATTACAAATGGCATTTACACACACCACACACACCACACACACATACACTTACTCTCACAGCTCAGATGAACGAACAAAGGCGCAAATATGCATTTCCTTTGCATAACAATCATGATAGACATCATCATCTCTCTGCTAGTTATCGTTTCTGCCGTTTCCACCCCTGTTATATTCCATCAAAAATCAGAAATTGAATGTGAAGTGGCCAGTAAAGATGGCTTTTTGATGTCAGACCAATCCTCGTCATCATTGATTTTGATTTTCTTAATTTCTTCCACTCAAACCCCCCACCCCACCCTACTATGACCATCTCTTTTGCTTCATCTTCTTCTGCTTCTTCTTCCCTCCTATGGCATTCTCTCCCTCTCTCTCTCTCTCTTACTCTTGCAATCTTTTTTTTCTTTTTTTTTGGCCTGTCTGTTCGAGGCAGATTGTCTTTTCTCTCTCTTTTTTTCAGTTTTTCATAATATTAGTTTTGAAGATTTTTTTTTCTCTCTCTCTGTCTATCTCTCTCTCTTCCTCTCTCCCTCTCTCTCTTCCAATTGCTTCTTCTTCTCTTTTTTGCTTTTTTCTTGTATTGGCCCGACGCCATTTTTGCTGTTCGCATGCAACGAATTGCTAATCGTCAACTGTCCACTTCATCAATTCATCTTTTGACTAACTTTAGTCTTTACTTCTTGATTTCTTATTTTTCTGGCCGTCTTTGCCGTTACTACAGCAGCATTGCTCTATAGCTCATACTCTGCAATCATCATCTTCTTCCTACTTCATCCCATATCACATAGTTGCTCAGCTTTGCACATCCACATTCACATGAATCTCCTCCTTATCTTACTGCATTCAGGGCAATGGAGAACGAAAAGCTGCACACAAAACATTCAAATGGACAGCCATTGAACTCTTTGATTCCAGTCTCCCCCCATCCCCCTTTTGTCTTTTTTTCCTTTTTCTTCTCCAATTTAATCTATCAATTGACATTTTTTTTTACTTTTTTTTCTTCCATTCTTTCCATGCACTTTCTGTTCCTCTTCTCATATAGCCATTCTCTCTCTCTCTCTCTCTCCCTCTCTCTCTCTCTCTTTATCATTCAGTATGTCTGTTTGCTGCTCTCTTCATGCCTTCTATGACTTCCTTTATCTCTTTTGCAACTTGCTCCATCGCCATTGTCCATCTCTCTCATCTCATATCACTATCTCAACTCTCAATATGGTCAGCAATCTCTGCACATTTCTTGAAGCTTTAACAAAAAATGTTGGTTTTTTATCTTTCCAACAGCTACCCTCTCTCATCCCCCCCCCCTTCCCCCCATTCAATCAAATCTGCTTTGGCTCATTTCAAATTTCTTTCGGAAAACTCATCTGTCGTTGTAGTTTGTCTTTCAATCTTCTTGGACGTTGACCAATTTCTGAATCATATTTAAAGGAAAAAAATATTTACATTTTCTTTTTCGTCTCTCCAATCACACAATTTCATGAATTTATGAAAAAAGGATTTACGAGAGAGAGAGAGAGAGAGACATACAGAGAGACAGACAGACAGACAGACAGATAGTAAGAGAAATGAGATGGAGAAACAAAAAACCAGATTTTTTTCGTCAAAGTTTTGCTTCTGTTGGACATTCGAGGTCAGTCGGTGCTGTGCCAGTCCAGTTTGTATATTTTCGTTAAATTATTATGAGCCGGCCATTGACTGCGTGCATCATAACTGACCGTACACAAACTCATTATCATCTCTGAACTCTCTCCATCTCGCTGTTTCTCTCCCGACTGTCATGCTCATGTACGTTTCACATTTCGTACTAGTTAGTGTAGTTACCGAGCGGTGGCTAAGAACTCAAAAAAACATACTTTATCAAACAAATTAACAATAATGAACATTCTCCACATCGAACACCAGCATGTAGAGGGATGATGGCACACAATTTTCATTTTCACAGTCTATTACTGATTAGTAAGCGGTTGTGCTGTTCGTGCGTTCATTTCGGATAGATGTGTCCTTTAACAGTTTGTTTGTTTGTTTGTATAGGCTGACAGAGGAAAACAACAATGAAAAAAGGCTTCTGAATTAGAATATGTGACATGTCTCTCTCTCTCTCTCTGTCTCTCTATGCTTTCCTCCCTCTCAATCTCTCTCATTGTCATCATTACTTCCTTCTCCAGCAGCATATTAATGGATTAGAAAAATCAAAAAAGTTTTGAGCACAATTTCTTGGATAAAACAAAAGCGGCGACTGAAGAGCAAAAGTCATTTCGGACACATAACTTGGCCATTTAAACTTCAAACAATAGCCTTCTTCGTATAGAAACAGAACAAAGGAATAATAAAATAAAACAAAAAAAATGACTAATAGATTTGAAAACACAAAATCCTCTGCCTCATCTTCATCTTCTAAACCCTTTTCCCTCCATTCTCTCTCTCTCTCTCTCTGTCTGTTTTCTATCCTTCTCTCCCTCTCTCTCTCTATTCATCACTATCTCTCGCTCTCTTCATCTTTTCATATTAGTCAACTTTTTTTTTGTTATTTCAGCTTTTCCCCCCAGCTTTTCTTTATCTTTTCTCTATTGCTACTATCTCTTCTAGCCTCTAGGCCTTACACCATATTCACAATGGGTTTGCATTCGTCTGTCCTCTTGCATACGACAAGCCCTTTCTTGGCCATGCTTCTTCTCCATATACTGCCCCAGACAGAAATGTCGTCCGTCTTGATGCCGTCGTCGTAGCGCTTAGGAACAAAAAAACGAAAAAGAAAGAATGAGATGTAACTATACGAAATTTGAATTGTTCAGCTTCTTCTCAAGTGCTGCTCGTCCACATTGTCATTTTTTCGACCGATAGTAGAACGTCTTTACTAGCGTTCATGTGCAACTCAAGCTTCATGACGTAATATGATCTGAACGACAGAAAAAAGCTGCGATAAAGATCCGTCGTCATCTAATAAATTTGTATAGAAATCTGTTTGTTACTATTGCTTTGAGTAAGAAGCGTTGTGTATGCCATCCACAAGTGGTGTCACTTCTCATCTCATAACCTCTCTCCCACTCACTTTCAATAACCACGTCAAAGCCTTAAGCTAGTCAATGACTTTGAGCTCACCCGTTCGTTTGCAATATTCTCGAATGTGAACGTGTTGAAGATGCAATGTGCAGAAGCCATTTAAGAATTTTCGAAAATTCCATTTTGTCCTCCATTCACTCTCCGTTACAAGCCAGAATGGACTCGAGAACAGAACATTTCCATCCTTTCCAGTCTTAGCTTAAGTCAAAAGCTAATTTACCGTCAGAACTAAATTCAACGACGACCATCCACCCCCCTCTCTCTCTCTCTCTCTGTCGCAATTCCTCTCCCTCTCACTTTGAGGACCCTTTTTGAGACCATAAAACTCATTTGCAAATTCTCTTTTTTTTGATGATTATCCGTTCATTGTGAATAGTTTAATGTCATTTTGGTCTGTTCAACAAAAATCTTTTTTTTTTCACACAAAACGTTGTCTCGGATTCTGGTGAGATAATGGAGATGACCATCATCATCATCATCATCATCATCATCATCCTCATCATGACGTCACTTCACATACATGCATATATACGGAATTGAGTTTGAGAGTGAAGAAGTGAATTGAGTTCAAATCATATATTGTACGTAGGCAGGGTGTAGAGCAGAGGTTGTGTGTGAGAGAGAGAGGATGGATGAGCACTTGGGATTGAAGCGATTGAGATTAGATGCGATTGAGGAAGTAAAAAGTTTTTCCTATTATTATTATTATTTATGTTTTAAGCTCATGCTTTTTCACACTAGACTGGCTATCATTGTGCTTTCAGCTGTCTTCTCATGTTGCATTCGCTCATCACCTAGCCTTCACATCACATTGCTCGCTTTGTCTGCCTGGCCCGCATCATTTTCCCAAAAAATCTTGCTAAAAGCCCTTAGCGACAATAGTGAAACTGACAAAAGCGAAAGTTTGTCTTCCTTTACACATAATTTCATTTTGAAATAATTGAATTTCGTGTATTTGGCTTCTTGTTCGCAAAAGCCTTTCTTTTACCGCTTTCTCCAATAATTTATGCAAAACAAACAACAACAACTATGACAACAGCAGAAGGACCATCACAAGCACCCCACCATCAGCAGCAGCACCACTCACTGATTAGCAATTCTGTTGATTCATTCGTATTCGTCTTGTCTTCATCATCGTTCACGTACATTTTCACGTACATTTTCTTCTGGTTTTTTTATTTGAGTCACTTTCAAGAAGTTAATATTTGGGAGAAATCGAATTATGTTGAATTGATAACCATCTGCATCGTATATCGTTCATGTTGCTCATCCTCCTCGTACAGCCAGCTCATCCATGCCGTCATCTTCTTAAACCTTAGTGGACGAGTGAAATCAGAAAAAAAAACTTTTTAAGTCAATTTCTCCTATCTCTCTTTCTCTCTCCCTCTCTCCCTCTCTCTCTTAAACTCATTCAGTCTATCAGTGCGTGTGTGTTGCGTCAAATTATAGAAATGAACTATAGAGAAAGCTTTATGTGGACTTTGTTAAGCTTATATCCATCCATCTTTCTAGCCTAATTACCAAATGCTCAAAAGACTGGTTGCCTTTTTTGAGTTCTTCTTCTTTCTTTTCTTTCTTTTTTTTATTCTTCCTCTTCGTTTTCTTGTTCTTCCTCCTCTTCTTCTTCTTCTTCGTAGTCGTCGTTTCGTTCATCTGCAACAGCCCATTTCTGACTATCTTTGTCTGCAAGTTGAACTTCTTTACATTATACTCTATACTCTCTCATTATCATGTTATCTCTCTCTCTTTCTCATTTGCTCTATCTGAATCTTTCATTCAATCATCCATCAACCGTCTACCTTCGATGAAATATGATTCGAAAGATTATGAATGCATTAGAAATCTCTCCTTTCCCGAAAAAACAAATGATCGCTCTACCTATGGTGAACAATCTGAACTTCTCCTCAGATTCTTTCATCTCATGCTGTCTGCAGCGGTCGAAATCTTGTAAGAGAATGCAACTATGGGGTGCAAGGATTGGGGGGGGGGGAGGCAATTTTCTGCTAGAGGAAAGTGAGGGGGAAGGGATAGCCTAGTGGACACGTTCTAGTGGATGACCTGATCTTCTGAAGTTTTTTGAACTTATCTGTTCGGTTACGTTCTCTTGCTCTAAGTACTCTCTACCTATCTCCTTCTACCCAACATCATTCATCTCTTCTGTTTGGCTTTCTCTTTTATAATTTTTGGTCATTTTCAAAAATTTTTTGAACAAGAAGAGTTCCCACGAATAGAAGAAGAAGAGGATTAGCTATTGGATGAGATAGAGAGAGAAGACGTTCCAAATATGGAGAGAGAGAGAGGGAGACGTGAGATAAAAAATATTTTTTTCATTCATAATCCATAAGCTCTTAAATGACTTTCATTAATTCATTATTACGAAAAGATATTAGTATTTTAAAGTGTTAAGTGCAGTTTTTGTTCAAATTTGGTCATTTGTGAACAAACGGACTGCAATGAAGTCTTTCTGCTCCGCTAACGTTTTCTCAGAGAATATCGTTCAAAGTGGAAAGATCATGGAGGGAGAGAGGGAATGGAGAGTAGAGGGAGGATGAGATAAGAGAGGGAGTCGACTAAAAAATAAGAAAAAAAATGATGAGATGAAGATTGAAAGTAATAAAGAGAGAGAGAGAGAGGGAGAGAGAGAGATGTATGCAAGAGTATGAGACAAGTAGAAGAGACTTTGCTCTGAACACTCATTCAGAGAACAAAAACGGGTCGACGAGACATAGGCATAGCGCTCGTGTGTGCATTTTCCGTGAGCACTCAGCTGAAATGAAGTTTCAGCTTATTCGTCTAAATTATAAAAATAACGCGGAAGAACTGAAGGTTTATCGGTGCGTTCGCTGACGAACGATAAATGAGAATGGAAGAGAGAAGATTCTGCAGATTCTGTGAATCGTCGTCGTCGTCATTGTTGTCATCATTGTGACCTTTGTTATGATCTCGTCATTACACCTTCACAATCTCCTTAATAGAATACTTCCTCCCTCTTACATTATAACTCTGAATAGATGTCGCTCTCTCTCTCTCTCTCTACACCTCTCTCTCTCTCTCTCTATAATCATGTATCAATCTATTACTATCTCTAACTCTCTCAGAAGTATATGTATTACATAACACTCTCACTCTCTCTCTTTCCCACCCTTGTTCTCCGTTTTTTGCGATTTCGTCCTGAAGAAGGAGAATCTTGTAATTCTCATTTCACTTGCTATTTGCTGTGTGAAATTCAAGCTTCGCAGCTCCTAATTTTCACATTTTTTTTCTCATTTCAACACTGAAATTACTTTTCTTTGCCATCAAACATACGTTAGTTTCGAATTGAAAAAAAACAATATTTATGGAAACACCTCATCTGTCTGAGGGTTGTGTACGCCCTCTCTCTCTCTCTCTCTCTTACCTCTCTCTCTCTCTCCATCACATTCCCTCCATACACAGACATCAAGCAGAAGATGCGAAAAGCTGAAGTTAAGTTCAGAGTTTCAATGATCTCAGAATTGTTCTTTAGTTCGACATAAATCTTCTATCTCCATCTATCTCTCTCTCTCTCTAACCTTTGTCTTACCTCTCTCTCTATCCTCTCTCTCCCTCTCTCTCTCTGAGAACTCCATTTCATTTGCTTCATTCAAACTTCTCAAACCTTTAGCAATAAAAATTTCTTTTTTTCACCAAAATTTATGAAATGACCAACGTCCAATTAATTCAAATCAGACGATGAAGCTTCTGATGTTCCCATTAGTCTTCCCCCAGATGTACTTCTGCTCTTTCTTTGCTTTTTTTTTCTTTCCATTTTGCTACTTTGTTGCAAAAAAAAAAGCCAATTCCCTGAGGGTATTGGCAGAGCATAAAGGTTGCAAAGAGAAGAAGAGAGTCAGTCAGAGAAGCAGAGAAAGAGAGAGAGAGAGTAAGAGCCAAAGCATATTGAAATCTGAAAAATGAGGAAAAGACCGTTTACGAACAATCTCTGGACATTGTCCTCACATCTCACTACCATTGCCAATAGCTCTTGCAGACGTCCACTTACCGTCCTGTCGTAAGCGTGTTGTCTTTCTCCCTCTGTCTATCGGTGTGTGAATGTGTATGTGTGTGTGTGTGTAGTGTGGAAGGGAACTGATTCAAATCGTTTTTTTCATATTCTTTCGTATGTCTTGCAAGTTTAAAATTAAGAAAAGCCATTAATTGGCACAATGAAAAAGCCAAGCACCTGAGCTTGCAGTGAATGATAGCTCTTACATGCCTTGAGGGCAAAAGAAGTAGATGAAAAGACATTACATACGACATGTGTTCCAACATGAGATATCTCATTCCTCTTACATTTTTCATTTGAAATATCCTTTTTTGTACATTCGTTGATGACTTCTTCCATCATTCACAGGTTCCATGAGTTAGATAAAGAGGATTGGATGAGGGAGAGTTGAGAGAGAGAGAGGTTCCTTAGTGATTATGAAGAAATCAAGAGAGAAGACTTAAGAGGTATAGAGAGTAAGAGAGATAAAGAGAGAGAAAGATATAAAGTGGAGGGTATACGTAAGAGAGAGAGGGAGGGAGAGAGAGAATGAGCATTTAGCATCCTCTATGAAGCTGGAACTTGACAATCCTCCTCTTTAATACCTTTTCTTCTCTTCAGCTATCCGCTTGAGTGAGTTGATGGTGGAAACCCAAAATTCCTTTTTTGTCCATGTCCGTCTAATTTGCATATAAATTACCTTTAATATATGCAGAAAAACTACTAAAATATTATCCCCGGAAGTATTTTAAGATTTCAACACGGCCAAAAGACATACGACAAGAATCGGAATAGCCATTGGCTCATTTCATGAATTCTTTCTCTCCTGGGAACCATTTGGCATTGAATTTGTATTGTTTGTGTATCTGTGTGTGTATGTGTATGTGTGTATGTGTTTCATCTTATCCATAACGACTTATTCATTTTAATATTATTCTGCAAGACTGATTCTCATATACTATGTCGTTATATGTAATTAGCATATTGTGTTTGCAGGAGCCACTGGCCGGCTAAACGGTTACATCATTACTATCATGGCTCCTCCAATGTATAGAACAGTCAAGGTATATCATCTATCTATCATTTCAATTAGCATAATGAATATCATTTCAGTCGCACGATGGACACGTTGAGTTGGAAGAAATCAAAGCTACGTGTAAGAAGCATGAAACGCTGTGCAGGTTAACACATATGATACTATTGACTCGTTGCAAGACCACTTTACAGACAATTTGCTGAGTGCAGCAGAGAGCTATCACAGAATGATGCGCAACTTGAGATTCTGGGTGAAACAGCTACATTTCTTCGACATCAACATGCCCAAATTAGGAAAATAATTGATGAGAAATCACGTAAATAACTTTTTCAAAGAATATTCAATAATAGTTTCTTCAATCATTCAGATTCTTCCGATGAATTGGCTTTACTGGAAGAAGAAATTCTTTCAGTTGATCGTCAAGTCTGTGTATGGATGAAGGAGCTTCAAGAAATCAATGAGAATCGCCTACAGATTGAGGTTTTCATAGTTAGCCATATATGGCTATCTAAACCTTGTTTTGCAGATTCGCTTCCTTCAATTACGTAATGAATTAAAGAAGAGTGTTACTTGTGTTCAACTAGCCTCAATTGACTTTGAGCTTATCCAAATGAGACATAACGAACGATGGTCACGGTATGTTTCGTGCAGGGACCATTATGATGTTAAATATAACTTTTAGGTTTTTGGCAGATCATGTCCCATCAAGTCAATTATCTTCTGCGGCAACAGCATGTGATTCTCAATAATCGTTTAGAAACAGAAAAAATGTATTTTTTTGATTCTCGTAATTCATTGGTAGACTTCCCTTCTAACCCCCCGTCTTCCCTGCCATCTATCCCCTCCCCGTGATTAATATCGGCGTGTGAATCATTTGTACAAATAGATACGGATTTCCATATTCTAATTTTTTTAGTTTTCACGGTTTTACGTGGCACGTTGTGTTTACATCTTATTTATATTCTATGATGCGATTCTGAACGGTTGTGCTCTCTCTCTCTCTCTCTCCCTCTCTCTTTCCTTCTTTTTCTTCTTTTTTTGTTCTTCCGCTGCTCTCCTTTCTTGTCTATCTCACTGTTCTCTCTCCCCCCTCTCTCTCTCTATCTCTTTATGATTTCTTTTGTACCTTTCGACTTTACAAACTTTCATTTAAAGCTTTCGAGCAAAAATCAAAAGCTGCTTTCAAGATGTCTTTCGCAGCTGAAATATATTTTAAAAACAAATGAAAAAAGAAAAAAACTCTCTTTTGTACTTGAAACTGAAAAAAAGGGGAAAAAAGAAGAATTTCATCTCCTTGTTGTTCCTCCTCTCATCCTTAGAAGTAGAAAAGAAAAAAGGAAATAATACGTCAACTAGTCAAAAGGAATAAGAAACTTTTTTTTTTCTTTATAACTGCATATCTTTTTGTTAATTTACCGAGAAAATGATTAATGAATATTATTTTTTCAAATTGTTCGGATGAAATCAGTTTGATGTGTATCAATCAATTGTATGTATGAGCATTAGTTACTAAGACTGTTCGCGAGCAGCGAGTGTAAAAGCAAAAGCACTTGTCGTGTCAACGCTGCTTCCAGTTCTCAACTCAATAAGATATGGACCTGTGTATAAATTGAAAATAGCTTTCAAGACACGTGTAGTAGTTATCCTGAAAAGAGTGAAACATCGAAGTGAACATAGTTTCTGAAACGTACGTCTGTTGCTGATTGTCTCCAATAGCTGTGATGGTAAGAGTCGTTGGTGCGGTGATTGCAAGCTTAACTGCATCTGTGGTCACCTGCAATTAGAAAAAGATTGACGATTCGTCTTCTTGAGTGCGAACACTTACTTGAGCATATTTTTGATTAACAACCCAACTGTAAACGGAGTTAGCACTGTATGAACTGCCGTCGAGCCGTGTGCTATTGCCTGGATAGTAATCTGGCGACACGAATAATCCCAATCCACAAGAGATTCGGCTACCAGTAACACCTAAAGGATTATACACATAATTAAACAGTCAATGATGTTGTACGCATACTTGTTTCACAGAACTTATGTCCGTCAAGGTTTCCTCCTTGATTACATTTAGTGCAGTATGGTTGTCCAAGATTGTCGACAGCGCACTGATCTGGGCAGGCTTGTTGAGGTTCATCGTCCATACATGGAGATATGGTAGGCACAGGTGTTGTAGTTGGAGCTCTGGCTAAAAAGAAAATTAGATGTTAGCTGCTGAAGAAGCATCATTCCTACTTGGTGTTGGTGGTGGTGTAGCTGAAATATGGAAAAAGATAAATTGAGATCGAATATGTGAGTATTGTACCTACGAAGCAGGCTTGATAGTAGCAGCTAGATCTATCAGCTTTCAATTGATTCAAACGAATTTGGGCTACTGTAAGATTGCCTCTAATCATATCCTGATTAGCCTCTGTCTGATCCAGCAAATTGGATAGTTGATTCAATGTGCTTAACAATACATTGTGTTGTGAACTGAACTGATGAAAAGTACTCTTGAGCAGCTTGTAATCTGGTGCTCAGATCATTCAGCTGATCCAATGGGGCTTGGAGAGCAGCAAGGAATGGTGCTTCTTCGTAAGCCGCTAACTGGATAAATTAATTACGAACCTATGAAAGCTAGTGAGTTAGACTTACGCTGCTGTAGGTACTGAACAAACTCTTGTCAGCATCCAGGATGGCCTGTTGCGTTGCCAAATATTGTGGACTGTTGTTAGGAACTGTATATTCAAAAGTACAAACACCATTTTTTACACAAGTGCGTTGGAAGTCTAAGAAATACAGGATATCAAGTTAAAGGGAAAGAACCATGATGGTACCTGCATATGATACATTCACCTGTGGTAACGTTGTAGTTGTTGGAACGCCTGCTGTCGTTGATAGGATATCTAGAATTGATTCATACATTTCCTATTCACAATTGGTACAACTCACTTATAGTCGTTGGCTGGGAAGTAGCACTAGCAGCCTTAGTGGTAGCACTGGGATCTACGGAAGCTGGTGAAGTTGCTGAGCTGGATGCAGCAACCTTAGTGGTAGCACTGGGATCCACGGAAGCAGGTGAAGTTGCTGAGATAGGTGCAGCAGGCGTTGTGGTGACACTGGAAGCTACGGAAGCGGGTGAAGTTGCTGTGTTAGGTGCAGCAGGCGTTGTGGTATCAGTGGCAGGATCAGTGGGATCGTCATCTGCTAAAGCGATAGGTATGGCTGCCACAGATAGGAGAAGAATGAAAGGTAAGAGTTTCATTTCTCTGTAAAGGAAAAGAAATTTAATAAAAAAACAAGAGATAGAGGATGATAGAGAAGATGAAGAAGAGAGAGAGGAAGTGGTAGAAGAGATTACTCATCAAAAGAAATGAAATTAGAAAATGGAATGAAATAAGATGTGTGTGTGTATGGCTTTGTTGATTCAGTAGCTCATAAGAAATCAGTCTTATCATTAATGATGTATTTTTCTTATCTAAGATATGTGATGACTACGGACACACCTCTCTTCGAACAGGCTACCTTAATGAGTGGATTCTGAAACAAAAAAAATTAGTTTTTAACAAACTTTTGATTTAAATTTGCATATCGTGTTGTAAGTGTGTGAACTGACCTGACGTTGAAATGAGATTACAAGAGCATGAGAGACGTAAGGAACAAGTCTTACCCGTATGGGATACACGACAGTTATAAATAGGAAGGTTGAAGAGCAAGAATTTCAAGGTATCAGTTAGGAACCAAATAAAAATAAAAATATAGTTAGACGATGTAGAGAGAAGAATCTGAGCTGAGATGAGATTGCAAGAGCATGCAAGACGTAAGCAACTAGTCTCACCCGCGTAGGATATACGGCAGATAATAGTTACAAGGTTCAAGAGATATAATTTTGTTTTGCTGTCGATTAAATACCAGACAATAATAAAAATATACTTAGACGATGGTGTTGTAAGTGTACGAACCGACCTGAGATTACAAGAGCATGAGAGACGTAAGGAACAAGTCTAACCCGTATGGGATACACGACAGCTATGAATAGGAAGGTTGAAGAGCAATTATTTCAATGCGCTCTCGATTAAATTCCAGACAATAATAGAAATATACTTAGACTATGGTGTTGTAAGTGTACGACGTTAAGATGAGATTACAAGAGCAAGCAAGACGTAACGAACTAGCCTCACCCGAATACGATACACGACAGTTGTGAGTTAGAACGTTCAGGAACAGCTTCAAGAGTGCATTGCAGAAGATACAGTTTTTGAAAAATTACTTAGAAGATGAAGAGAGAAGAATCTGCGCTTCATAGATGAATACTAAAACTGAACATTAAGCATCCAGTAGTAACCACTATGGAAGAGTTAGAATAGAAGAGAGGTGTGCGATGTGATTTAATAGTTATAAACGTGCAGGTATCATTGATCAGATGAACGACTTCTCTTAGATCTTATTGTTTTGAGAGAAAGAATAGCTCACAGGCATATTCTCACTCAATCAACCATTCCAAAAGAGTAAAGCTTGGAAAATTTTTTTATTATTTTGCAATCCATCCCTCATGAAGCCCCTTGCTGGCTGCTCCATGCAACTTTGCTGCTAACCAAAATGAACTTCGCCTATTTATCTCATAAATAGGATGGAGTAATGAGGAAGAATAATTGAAAACAGCTTTCTCATTTCAATTCCTGCCTGACCTTTCAATTTTAAAATAATTCATATGGAAATTAGAATTTCCACGTTTCTTCACGGCTTCACGTGAGCATGATGACGTGTGAATTACGTTTTACATCGTCTAACATATGGTCCACAGAACGGTTGAATGTTTGTCATCCAGTTAAAGCTAGATATGTTAGAATCCTATCTCACCTATAGTTTGACAAGACCGTCATTCTGCTTTTCACTTCCCCGATTTCGTCTTCTCTGTCTCAATAACAGAAGGCTCACCCTTACAACCAGCTGAGATTGGATATAAAGAAAACACTTTTCAAGATATTGTTCATAGATCATGAAGAGCAACAGTTTGATTTAGCATCAACTTCTTTGATGTATCAAGAAACTAAGCTCCATCGCTCCAGACTTCGAGATTGGATTTGAGCGAGGCAGAGAGTATAAATAGATTCTTATGATATAGCTAAGATAAGTGGCTAAGGTCTGAACCAACTCGTCTTTACAGAACTGAGATTCTGGGTCTCTCAAATTGTGGAACGCAGATGGCAACCCGTATTTCAACATTACCCGAAGGAGAAGCAGATAAAGAGATTGTCAGAATGAAGTTTTGAGGTTGAGAAAACGTTTAGAGCATATTCCATTTGTTTGGGTTGATTATTTGAGTTTTAGCGAACAAGTCGTCGTCTCATGACGTTTCATCTTCGCTTCCGAACTCTAGCAAGCATGAGTTGCAAGACCAACCCGAGAAGGTAATACTAATTCTAAGAAAAGACAAGAATTCAGTCTTACGATAAATTCAATAATCAACTGATCGTGTAATTCCAAGACTTGATCAGTCTGTTCTCTACTGATCTACTACCGTATACGATTCATTATGAGTTTTTATTTTTGTTTTTTTAAAATTATAGTTCATGAAAGACGTTGAGTTCATAGATTTTCATGTGACATATGTTCTTCTCATTGACGTATTCAAGTTAAGATATCCAATGATTACTGTGCGGGCAAGACATCTATGAATTTATGTGATAACACGAGTACAAGCTTCCCGGCAGATAGTTGGAGAAGGTTGTAGTAGAGGTGATAGCTGAACAGAAGGGCGGGGGAGTTTTTTTTTTTTTAATTTCTTTTTTTGTATCTGCTCTATGACGTGAGTGCATATGTAGATGGGTATGGGTTGTTTGTTATCATCGAAGGATATGTGATTGTTCGGGTTCTCTTCACTCAATCCTCTTTCCAACTAATTGGAGACGAATGCACAACAACGTTTGTTACTGTGTATGTGGCGATGATGTCAACCATCTCAAACGAACATACAGATATCAATCAACAGTTTATTCATGATGAAGCTGACAAAGATTAGATGATGGTAAGGACACAATGTACACACACATACACACATAAACATAGACGATCTCTCTCTCTCTCTCTCTCTCTCTCTGTACCTTTTTTTATTCTCTCTTATTATTTTTCTCTCTCTCTCTCTTTCTTACACACACACTCTCTCTATGTATATATCTCTATAGAAGGTAAGAGGGGTTTTCATTCAAATACAATCAAAGGGAATGATGATTGGGGGGGAGGGAGGTTGATACTTAGATGACGATGGAGATCTCATCAGATTTTTCATTCTTTCCTTTTATAGATGACACATGCTCATCTATCATATGAGAATCGCTGTTTGTGATGAAGGAAGAGGTGCGAATGATGAGAAAAAGGAAAAAAAAATTTTTTTTGTTAAAAAAGCTTTGAAATCTTCTTTATTCTCCATTTTGTTGTATTTGTTTGAACGAAATTTGTAAGCTATGACGATGATCGAACAATAAATGATAAATGCTGATGACGATGAGTATGTGTGAAGGCCAAGCTTAAGCTGAACGTTTTCCAAACCGAACCATCATATCTCCGGCTGATGGTACGCGCTTATGCGGACCATTAACTCCAGCTCCAACTGCGGGAGCAAACATGCCGTATGGCTCCATGCGATAATCAGACATTGGCAGTGCATCGACATCTAAACACATACATACATCACAATATATTGCTTTGGCTTATGAGCAACAGTATGTATGTTGCAGCTCAATTCGTTACTTACCATATGGTAGTCCACGGGCTGAGATTCCGGAGCAGATGACGGCGAGAACAAGCAGAAGAGCGGACAGTAAGAATCGGAAAGCCATTTCCTAAATGATAGAAAGTTGAACACAAGCTTGAGATCACACAAACGAGCAATAGCATCGAAGAAGAGTTTAACTCGATGAAACCAAAAAACGAAAATGAGAGAGAAAAAGGAGAAGAGGGGGGAGGATGATGAGACAATACTCGCTTACTAGTGATATGACGCTAGTTAGATTCTCATCAGCCGTAAAAGCTTAGTCGTGGTCAGAATTAGAATTTCAAACGACCTTATATAGGAGGATCAAAATGAAAAAAGACAAGAAAAAAAAAATTTTTTTTTTCCTCTCTTCATGTCCTCCTCCTCCTCCAACATCCAATTCAGATGACGACGAGCCGTGAAGCTGTGAGTGTGGTGAGAGAGAGAAAACACGGCACTTATATACTTTATACTTTTGAAGTAAAATGAATGTGACGACTTTCATCAGTCGGGAAGCATATTCACAGAAGTTCAAGCAACATGATGACGATAGCTGATGTCGTGGTCGTCGTCGTCGTTGTGATGGTGTTGAAGGACAAGAAGAGAAGAGAAGAGAGATATTCCAAAACGACGACAACATGAGCAGCCGTCATAGACTAGCTTAAAGTAGAAATTGAAATTTGCTTTTTGAGGAGGGAAAAAAGAAAACAAAACTTGGAAGTACGTCCCATATCCGGAGGCTGTTTTGTTACAAATCTGTCTTTTCATTCTCCCTCCCTCTCTCTCTCTCTCTCTCTCTCTCTCTCTCTCTCTCTATCTCTCTCTCTCTGATCATAATAATATATTTTCTTAATTAATATTCAACAAAAAAAAAACGAAACGAAGAAGAAGAAAAGAAGAAGGCGGGAGAGAGAGAGGAACGAACAAGAAGAACGAACGAACGAAGGATGATGCTGATGATGATGCTTATGATGATGACGCTATATATGGTATGAAAAGGGTGACAGAGAAAGAATTGAATGAGAAAGAGAAAGAGAGAGATAATGAGAGATTGAGAGTTAAAGAGATGGACTGACGAGAGTTACGAGATGTGAAAATCTAATGTGAATGCTCATATACTACCCACAACTACTGAAGCTTCCACTACTCCACCACTACTATGGCTTGGTACATTGTCATTTATCAAAATAATTATTGTCAAAGGCTCTAATGTCCCCAAGAAAATCATTTTTGTTGTCGAACAGATGTCAATAGACCTCCCTCCCTCTATCTATCTATCTCTCTCAACCTCTCTCTCTCTCTATATATGCTTTCATCACATCATTATAACGATACGAAGTATTGTTTAAAATATGAAAGAGAGAGAGAGAAATGACGAAAAACATAAAATATTTTAAGTTTGGACAACATCCCTGCTCCCTATGGTCATACAAGCATACCTCTTTCCTCTATCTCCTTATAGATCTCTATCTCATTCTCTCCCTCTCTTTATATATTAACGCGAGAAAGGGGGAAGGAGTTGATTGAAGGAACTGCGCTTGCCTTCTGTTACTACTATTTCTGATCTCAAGCCCTACCACTGTCATACCCTCAGATATGAGAGTTATCAGTTTTGGAAGTAAGAGAGATAGAGGAAAGGTGATAGCGAGAGAGAGAGAGAGCAAAGAAGATAACAACATGAGGCATGTTTTAAGCTCCCCAAAAACATACTTACGAGTTGTCAGTACAGAGCATCGCTAACCATATATGAATCCTATTTGTTAACTATTCACATTCGAATATCAGAGGGAGAAAGAAGACGACGAAGAAATTCTTTCTTCTCCTTCTTCCTTCGACAGCTCAAATCCTATCTTTCATCTTTTATTCGGTAAAATTAAAAACAGGAAATAACCCGAACGTCCAAGCAACAGACTTGTCAGCCTTACCAACTGACTGATCTGCCTTGACAAGCTTAAGTTAGGGAGATGTCTCATCTGAATTTCAAAAACTTTCAGCTGCAAACCCGTGTAAACTTCTTTTGTTGTTGTCCGGAAGGCTGATCAGAATAAATTTTTCCTTCTTACTTCTACTTCATCTCTCATAGTTATAAAGAGAGAGAGAGAGATAGAGGAAGGGAGGGAGAGAGAGAAAGCAGTCATACACATGATACGGATAGTCGTTGGGAGTATCCATCAGGCAAAGCATATTGTCTTTGAACACTGCTTTTGAAACATACAATGCTTATTCTGAAGAATTTCAAAATCGTTTCTCTACCATGCGGGGGATGAGGAGGAACGAATTGAAATTTGATTTAGAATGATTTGAATTCCAAAATAGGAGAGATGCCAAAAAAAGAAAATAAAAGGTGCAGAGATCGTAATGGATGTAATTGGTCATCGGGGATTTTCAAATTCTCATCATTTCTCTCGCAGTCTCATGGCTTTGGTGTCGATGAGGTGATTTTTACGATTTTCATCGTCGGCCTACAACCCACAGAGGGTTAAGAACGAAAAAAAAATTTTTTTGTTTCTCCCTCTCTAACGTCTCATCGACAATCAAAATAAATGGAAAATTCATGAGAAGCTTGAGAGAGCAAAACTGTGTGAGAGGAGGAGAGGGACACGGCCAACATCAAGAGTTGGTAGGCCTTTTGAGGAAGCTGAAAATCAGAATACGTAATTCGAAAATTCCTTTTTTCAGTTCCTCGGTTTACGGCTGACGAAGGTGCCATTCAGCTAGTATTTCCATTAAAACCATTCATCTTGCTTGTTTCTAGGGAGATGAAGATGACGAAAAGCATTGAATCAAGGAAATGCTTCTGAGCAACTGAAAGAGAGAGAGAAGGTACACTAACGATCTCCGACTATGAATTTGCAATACAAAAATACGACAACGACGATGAAGAAGAAGACGACGACGAAGATGTTTTTGACTAAGGCACACCAAACGTCTTTCAACAGGCTCAGATCTCATGAGAGTGACAATCAGACGTCGTCTACGTCGACCAAGATTACATGATGATGGGGCGTACCAGATGAGCGAGCGACAACTATAGATGGCTCCACCTGCTAGAGCATTGAAGCTTGAAACTTGATAGAATGAGCTACGATAGGTGACAGTAACAAATTCTGATGGCCATTCAAGCAACTTATATACGTGCAGACTGATTGAAGAAATTGAATCAAGCTGCACTTAAGCATATTGGAAGAGCATCTGATCTTCAGCTTCTATCAGACAAATTTGTAATTTTGAAACAATTTTACAAATGAAATAATAACATTTGAAGCTACAACCACGAGCAGATTGAAGCTTCAACGATGAGAACATCGAAGCTTCAACGTTGAGAAGACGATTACCAATTGCCTTAAAACACGTTTCGAGACTCATTGACCATCATTGACTTACAACGATCAAAAAAGAATTTTTGAACTGAAAAAAAAAGAATTTAATTTTCAATTTTCAACATCAGATGGCAGTCAGGCTCTCCTTTCATTCTCTACAATCACGTCATTTGAAAATAGCTTGGGGCATTTACTTTTTTAACAAATCTTCTAACTCCTCTCTTTCCCTCACTCTCTCTTACTCTTACTCTTACTCTCTCTCTCTCTCTCATTTGGAAGTCGGCTTAGAAAAGAAAGTTGTACAGCCAAGAGAGAATTATTAAAGATTGACTTGAATGGCTTTGCTTACTTCATTTATACTTCCTCTCCACCAACTGTTTTGATGGTCCCACCAAACGTCTGAAGGCGTTATTTGGATGAACACTTTTCCAGACGACTGCCTCTATATCCTCACTAAACTATAAAAATATCTCTACTAATATATAAAAGAGAGAAACTGAATAATATTCTGAAAATTAACGTTTTGAACATCACAGCTTGATTCCCTTCAACTACTCCCTCTCTATCTCTCTTTCTACTTCTCTGTTTCCTCTTTCAACGCCTACAGACGTACATGTGTATGTGTGTGATGTCTCAGAAGATGGAACGACTGATGTGTTTGGTCTATTTAAGAGCTAAGCTTTCTATTCTGACAGATTCATCGACGGATGAACATCGTGAACATTCTGTTACATATCCAGCTACGACCACACTCATTGACGACAACGATGACGACAGAGAGAAGAGCACGGAAGACGCAAAGCCCACGACAATCCTGCCAACTTGACAGGTTGATTGCATTTTTGGCCGTCAAAAATCAAAAGAAGATTGTTAGTCGCCGTTGAAACTTGAATGTAGCAAAAATAAGAAAAGAAAACGTGGCGAACGAGGAATACATTACATATATGGAAGAGCGTTGTATCTGTAGCGACAAGACATACACATGTAGCTTTGTCTCCTCCAAAGTTACCTATGAAGGATTACAAGTCATGAAAGTCTCATTCATCTCATCCTTCTCTCTTCTCTCTCTCATTTGATGATTATGGAAATAAAAATTTGTTTCAGCAAGAGTCATTGCTTTCTGTATGCTTTGCATCATCCAATGAAATAAAATATTCCGAGTAAATTCCTTTTCTCCAAGACTTCCGTCGTTACAATGCTTGCAATTCACATGAAGAAGTCCTCTCTCTCTCTCTCTATTTATGGATATCCATTTGTTCAAATAAGGAAAATAAGTTCTTTTCACGTCGCTAACTCATTTCGTACGTGAAAAGCACTTTTGTTCGGTCGGAGGATATCTATCAAGCAGAACATCAGCCATACGTCATTGGCTATGGCTCATGTGAAAAGGTCAATATACCTTTCTTATTTCTGTACTTAATGACGTCGATTGAATCTAAACTCACAAAAGTCAATGAGCATCTAAGGCACCGATGGGGAGAGATGGAGGTGGTGGAAAGCTTAGATGTCAACAAGATTGAACATAGGGTGAGGAATGACAGTGACACAGTTGATACAGGGAAACAAGGAGCTATAGGATGAGTGATGGTCAACCTCGTTGACGTTCGCAGAGGCAATGATCGTATACTAACTAAGAAGGCGGATGATACAATGAGAGTTATTTGGAATTAAATTATGTAAACTTTAAAAATATTTTTTATAAACAATTCCATTTAAGACCATTTGTAAACATATAACAAGGGAGAAATGTAATTTCGTTATGATAATGTACTCACGGACAAGACGGACAGGAGGACAGATGAGACACAACAAGGCCATCTTGAGAATGGTAGTGAATGAGATGAAAGCTGAGGAAAAATATCTTTTTTTTTTGTCGGAAGGTCTACTACATGAAACATACATGTACATAGACCTAATAGGGTATGTTGAACTTCTGAATATTTAAAATTCTCATCGGTGTTGTCTTTGCTCTCTGCTCATGTCTTTCTATTTCTCTATAGAGATGAGTGAGCTCTCTCTATCTTTGTGACTGTTCCGTGTCATCGTCTTACATCATCCATGTTCAGATGTCCTTCGACTCCTTATATGAGCATAGGAATAAGCTAATGACTCTTGAATAGATGATTATGATTATATCCTTTATTATAAAAAGTTATATTCAACATAGCTTTTATTCTTGTTTGATGGATTTTTGATGAACTGAAGAAGCTCGTTTCATGATCATTTAAGCATATGCTTATTAGTTGAAGAAGAAGATGAAGACAACGACGACAAGCAGGACGACGCTAATCTCTCGTTTCTTTCAAAAATGAGGAGAACGACCACTACCATCATCAGAGGGTCATGTTCATTGGCGGCTGAAAGAGAATTGTTTGGAAAACTAGAGGGAGAAACCTGTGCAGAGCTATGCTGGAAACGAAAGATTTATTTATCAATATTCTCGAATGAGAGGGTCGAGAACGAATCAGTTGGAGGAAACAACTGAAAGAGGAATAGAATGAGTGTTAAGAGTTATCAGATGAGAGGGTGAGATAGAAACCGAGGTGAGAATGAATACTGTCGGAGGCTAGAGAGAAGAGAGAAGAGGGAGAGTGATAAATTGAGGAACAAAAAGAGGAAATCAGTCAGAACAGCAAGATAGAGAGAGAGAGAGAAACAGAGAGTGAGAGAGAGAAACAGATAAGTTGACTAAGAGGGAGATAAATCTCAGAAAACGTGAAAAAGACTCATAAATTGCTTTGTTTGATGAAATTATGAAATGCGCAGTTCCCCATCTTCATTCCTCAGCCAATTATCATTCGATTGAATTGTCTTCTTAACTTCTAAACATCGTCATCATCCGTACGGAACGATGACTTTTCCTCTCGAAGAATCTCCCTTTTATCTCTCCAGAATAGTTAAGATAGTTGATCATCTTCTATCTTCCATCTCACCCTTATCCTACCACCTCTCTCTCTCTGTCTCTCTCTCTCCCTACAACACCAACCATCATAATATGAAATCCAGATGTGTCTTAAACGCAGCTGACATCTCTTGCACCTGACGACGACGACGACGACGACGACGAGGAAGACGACGTCCGTCCCGATACTGAACGAACAGCAACAGTCAAACCCTATCGTCTCTTCTCACATCTATTCTACCCCCCATGCAAACGCCTTTCTCGCCTCCCCCCCTTCTCTTTCAACCTTACCCTGATAATCAGGATATACACATGTGATATAGTACATCCAATGAAGAGATAATCTTAACCAAATCAGAACATATCCAAATACATTCCATATACGGTTGATAGTTGAATAAAGAGAAATGATTGTCAGCTAAAGATATCAGCGACGTTCCTCTCAATTATTCTCATCATCATCCGAAATGATGTCGTCGTTGTCGTCTTCGTCGTCGTCGTCGTCGTCGTTGTCGTTATTGCCTTTTCGTCTTCGCTCCTTCAGACGTCTTCTCATTCACCTCTTTTTCCACTTTGGCTGTCAACTCATCATCGCACATATTCATCTCCATGATTACCTGCTTCCTAATGTATCTTCTTTTTATATTCTTACAACTCTTCGACCATTGCGCATATTCGTCTTCTTCATCTTCTTGCGTCTGCTGTCATCTGAAGACTCAATTGCAGTCGTCGTGTAGCCAGCCAGCCAGCATCATCAGCATGCATCCTATTGTAACTTATTAAACTTAAAAGATAATTAGACGTTTAAAAGGGCTTCTCTCATCTCATTTCTGTCTTCTTTTTGCATTTTCGCTTCATATCCAGACAGTTTTTCATCTCCTTCATCTCCTTCTCATTACTCACACATCCTTATCTGTTGCTTTACGTACTTCATTTGTCCAATTTCGGTCAATCTTCTTTTATTCTTGAAAAAGCTTAAGCTTTATTTCTTCATTTGTGTCATCATCATCGTCATCATCTCATATATGTTCATTCGTTCCTATTACAGTTGTGTTCTCAAGCCATGCTGTGGGCGTGACTGTCTCTTCGCTAACCTCGCGCCTTTCTCTCTCTCTCTCTCTCTATCTATCTCTCTTACTTCTATTCTCTTCTTATTCAATTGTGTCTTTCTTTCTTCATTCTCAAAATCGTTCCTTTTTCAATTCAGAAAATTCTGAGGAAGAACCAGCATAGGATCAGTTGACCGAACAGTTTCTGACCATTCCTTCTGAGCTTTTCACATCTTCAATGCATAATTATATATTTCTAATATTATTATTCGCCTGGAATCTCATACTATGTACTGCCATCAACGAACATCCATATAGAGGTAATCAGAATTTTATTTTTTTTACAAACTTTAGTACGTCGTCACATTTTTCTCCTGATACTTGAATTCTTATGAGTGAATCTATAACCGTATCCCATATACCCAGATACATCAGCTTCATCAAGCTCCTCATCTATGACTAACCCTCTCATTCAGAACTTGTTAATCAATTAACTTTCATTAACTTACTTAGATAGTTGTCATCTTCTTGACATTATTTCCTTTACATTCTTGTTTTCTTCACAACTCGCAACTTCGTCTTCATCGTCATCGTCATCGTCTTCAATTCCTTTTTGAATTTCCTTCTTTCTTTTCCTTTTTTTTTTTTTGATCGTTTTTGTATTTTCATTTCCACATCTTCTATATCCACCAGATGACATTTCAATTTCAATTGATAATACTATATCTCTATCACTTCTGTTTATCATATCCTTTGCTATCCTTTAATCTCACTCTCACTATCACTTTCAACTGTATCTCTCAGTCTCCGTTCTCTCTTCTCTATCTTCTCTCTCTCAACATCTAACACCATTCCATATACTTTAAAGATATTCCTAATTATGCTAATTATAACTATCTTATATTATAGAACATCAACGATATCGTAGAGCTTCTAATACTTTTGGTGATGCTGAATCTCCTCCATTACTTGATCTCAATGCTACCGTTCCGTACATCTTTAGTGCTCGTGTCTATCCATATGGTCAAGCAAATGGTGATCTTCTGGCTTCAGCAGCCATTGAACCATATCGGTTGGAAAATCCAATGCATTTCTTAGGAAATGTCTTTGATACTATTTACGTGAGTTCAAAATCCTTTTTCCATTTCAAAATGAAAATATGAAATCCACGTCATTCACGTTAGTTTACGTGATATCACGTGTAGTTACGCCATTTCACGTCAAAACCATTTTATTTTTCTGTTTGTCATGAGATAGCTGGTTGCATTAATGAATCAAAAATATGGATGAATGTATAGAGTTTATCTATTTCCTTAAACAAAGGTCAATATGATTTACTGTGAATCAGCTGTGTGCTCAGCTTTCATCATGCATTTGTTTTTGACCTTTTGCGGTCATTACAATGTACACAGAAATTAGCGTAAAGCCGATTTTCAAGCTGCAACCATCAATGACCTCAAGTAACAAAAGGAAAAAAAAACATCTGAAAAATGATTTGTAAATGATACTAAGTCTTTGATGCTTCTATGTAGTGAATGATGCTCCAGGTGAACCTTCTCTCCACACCCTCGCTATCTCTCTATCTCTCCTTGTCTCTACCTACCTCACTTCAAACCTTTTTTTGAAAATTTCCATCTGTTGACCATGAAAATTAATTGTTGTTGGAACGTGTCGCCTGAAGAATAATTTCATTTTCAATATCTCGAAACGTTTTGTTTACTTTCCAAGTAATATAGTTCATACACGCATCTTTCAATGATATTTGTTCATCTTGTTCAAAAGACAAATCATCCTCCTATATCCGGATGTATGATGATGCGGAAAAAGAAAAAAAACCTGAAAGTTTCTTTCAAAGACAAATATAGAATGAAACTTGTAAAGTAGCTTTACTATGTAAAGCTTCAAGAGGTTCTCAGAGAGAAGGAGAGAGAGAGAGAGAGAGATTCCTCAAAAGAGCATTTGACATCAACTATGACTTATAACTAGATGTTGATAATCAATTTATATATATTAGATTCATAATGATGGAAGTGTCGGTTTAACACCTAGCCACTCGGAATCATCACCATTACCCAGTCCTCATCCAATGATGGCCATCTTCTGGCAGAACACCAAAGGAGCACGTGTCTTCTATCGTGAAACAGACGGTATGGATAATCACATCGCGGAAAAAAGGAATTTTTTATATTTTAGATCCAACAACTATAAACTTAGCATATAATGAGGTCAACATTCAATATCGTTATGGATCGTCATTTCGTGTAAAGAGTGTTGTTATCATTACTTGGGAAAGTGGAACACATGTCGATAGTTCGGTAATTTGAAGTTTTCATAGAAACAAACAAACATCCTATCATTATAGAATACTGAGGGGAATATCTTTCAATTAGCATTGATAATTGGAGATAAACAAACATTCGCTCATGTCATCTACAGTCGTTTGACATCTTACTTCAATGCTGTGGTAAGTTCAAATGGAAACTCGTTCGTATACGTTTCACTCAACGCACTAGTACCTAGCCTGTGCAATTCATTATGCTACACGGGTCTCGGTACAAAACACTTATAATTATTCTAATTTTTGACTGACGCCTCTAAAGTGCATTTCAAATAATCATTTTGTTCATTTGAATGTGAGAAAGCGGTTGTACACTTGATTTCATATTGATAGGATAATTTAATGATTATTCTGTTCAGGCTGGCTTCTCTTCATACAACAGCTCATACTCTCTACCTGATTCTGGTACTAACGATGTCGTTTTATTGGCAGAAAAGAGTGATATTGGAATTCCGGGTGAATGGTTGTTCCAAATTGACGCAGAACAAGTAAGTATCATTGAAATTGAAAGCCCATTTCATACTAATTACTTCATCGTCTTATTTAGGTTTATCTATGTGGAGCAGGTTTTAAAGGATTAGAATGTATTGAGAGTTGCGCATCTTCTCAATGGTCCAATGATTGCTCACGCAGGTATTACCTTGTTCGATACATCAATTTTCCTTTTTTTTTTCTTTCCCTCATTTTATTTTTTTGATTTCTAGTTGCCATTGTGATGGAAACGATCCATGCGATCAGGAGAATGGTCGATGTCCCAACGATAAGTGCTCTCCAGGCTGGCACGGCTCTCCTATATGTGATAAAGGTTTTTACTAATTCGTTTTATCATTGATTCAGCTAGAGAGCTTAATTGATAGTACGAAATGTTTCTAGCGATTGGAACATTCCGTATGACTGAAGAGAATTAAAAGATAACGGAAGAGCATCTGATCTCGATTTTTTCAGATATCGATGAATGTGTTGTTAATCCGGATATATGTCCAGTTGAACAACCTGATTGTCTTAACACTCCAGGATCTTTCCTCTGCCTCTGTTATGAATATGATGAAGTAACTAAGCTATGCAAAGGTTTGTATATTTGATAAATGCTATCCAACATAAGCTTCTTTAGGAGCTACTTTGCCAAAAGCATCTCATGAACAGATACCTGTTGATGTTATGCAACTATCCCCTTCAATGCACACAAGTACTACAACTCAAGCCAGTATTCGTTTCCCTTCAATTGCTAGATCGTCTCGTATTCAAGCTAAGGTTTGAATTTTTGAAATTTTTTTTCCACCTCACTAATCATAAATTATTTGATAGACATGTAATTGCGACACCAATGCTCAATGTATTGATAACAAATGCATTTGTAAAAGCGGATGGACTGGTGACGGCGAAAGGTTCGGAATCTTCGTTTCTATACTAAACGGACGAAGATTGTATAATAAAAGAGAAATTTATTTTTTTATTACAGCTGTCATGATATTGACGAATGTCGCATTGCATCGACGTGCCCCCAGAAAAATACTCGCTGTGTTAATGTTCCTGGATCTTATCAATGCAATTGTCTTCATGGCTATATTTATAAAAACGGTCAATGTAACGGTGAGATTGGAATTCGACACCGTGGTTACAGCATGTACTTGTAGATATCAATGAGTGTGATCACTCACCATGCGGAAATGATGAGGCTATGCAATGCGTGAACTTACAAGGAAGTTATCGCTGTCAATGTCAAGATGGTTTTCTCGGAAACTCCACTCTAGGATGCCTCGGTAGGATCATTAACGTACAAGTGTTGACATTTATCATTTAAGATATAAATGAATGCGAGGAGTCGAATGCTTGCGGTGATCATGCCATATGTTCTAATACTGTAAGTAGTTCCTTTCTAATCTTTCATTCATTATTTTCTTTTAAGAAAGGAGGCTATGAATGCGAATGTGAAGAAGGGTACGAGCGAATTAGCGAGACCGGTGGCTGCAGAGATATTGATGAATGTGCTGTTAGTTTCTTTTTCCAACAATCCCTCGGCACAGTTAATCTCTCTCAGATTCAACCCTGTCACAGTGCTGCTCAATGCATAAATATGGAAGGAACTTTCGAATGCCAATGTTTAGAAGGTTTTATCGGAGATGGAATTGAATGCCACGAAACAATTTTGTATCCAATATCGAATGATTCTATTGTTGTTCCTCGATCTCCTTCTGAAGCTATTGTCAGCGTTGTTCTTGCTCAACCTATCAGAATGTTCGGTCGAAACTGCAAAACAGTTTTTGTAAGTGAACCAGGAGATTTGCAAGCTTTTGAACACGTTTTTCCAGGTTTCCTCAAACGGCTTACTTTCATTCGATTCTCCAATAGCTGGTGTGGTGAATGAACCTTACAACTTGGGGAAGATCGTGATTTTCCCTTTACACACAACTTTCAATTATTCGTCCCAAGGATTAGTTGCTTACACTTATGTGAATGGTCAGTTCAGATTCAATTAGATTACTAATGATTTCATATGCAGCGACAGATAAGGCTGCTTCAGCTTTAATTACTCGATCTTCTCTCTCCGTTATAAACCAGTATGGGCTTCTTAATTTCCGAACACGGAATCTTCACATATTCACGTTTGATCGAATGCTTCAAGCGGAAAGCAACATGGTAATTTGTTGTTCCGTTATGGTCTCTAAACATCAAACACAGGTCAACTCCTTCCAAGTTGTATTGGCAGAATCCGATTCATCAACTGTCTTAACTCTAATTTACGAAAAAGCCGAGTCCGCGACTGCCATCATTGGTGAGTAGCAGTAGCAGTAGAGAACAGTTTCTGAATACTATCTTTCAGGAATCGCTACCCCTCAAGCTTATCATCCTTTACCAACTTACACGATTGCGAATCAATCAAATGTGGGTACACCTGGACGTTGGATGTTCCGTGTAGATGGACCATTAGATGTTTGTCCAACAGGCCATGTTAACCCACCTTATTGCAATTCCGGTAGAAGAAAAACTTATTAGAGCTCCAAACTAACTCATTCTATTCACAGTTTGCCAATCAGGACACTGGGGAAGTAAATGCTTGAACGTTTGTCACTGCTCTGGTGGTCAATCCTGTGATGTTGTTTCCGGAATTTGTCCCAAAGGCGTTTGTGCTACTGGATGGAAGGGCGTTCATTGTGATGAAGGTTATTCTTGTTTTTCAAGAACGGAAATTTAATTCTCTGATGTCAGACGTTAATGAATGTGAAGAATTGGTCACTTGTGGAAAGAATTCTGAGTGTGTCAACACTGCTGGATCTTACGAATGTCGATGCTCTGAAGGTTTTGAGCTCGGCTCGAATAACGAGTGTGAAGGTTCATTATATCCTATTTCCGCTCTTAATCATTGTTTTTTAGCTATTGATTACTGCTTCCTAGTCAATAAAGCGCGCTGCCACCAGAATGCGTACTGTGAATCGAAAACGAGATGTATCTGCCATCCAGGTTATACAGGTACTCTCTCACATAGTGTTGTGGGTGATCATTCATGTCTAACGTTCAGGTAATGGGTTCACCTGTACTCCCAAAACTACAATCAAACTACTGGACTTCTCTAGTCAATCTTCTCCGAAACCAGGTGAGCATTTCCTGCTTGAGAGGGATTATCCATTTGATTTGCAGTTCCCATTTCCACGAAACCATCTCCGAACGCTGCTTCGCCTATTTATCCGTTCGTCATGAACTCCTGGATTACTCCGGAACTTCCTACACCAGTGACTTCAAAACCGACAGCTAAAAGTGAAGCCTTTCATCAATTTTCTGTACAAATATAATGTATGGCTTTCAGCAACTTCACTGCCTACTCTGCCAACTACAAATGCCACCGAAGAGGGAGAAACAGAGTCCTTGACAAGTACGTGAATGAGCACTCTTTCCTGGATGTAATCGATGAATTTCAGTGTTATTCTTGGCAATGCCTGGAGCATTATGCCTTATATGGTTCGCATTAGTCATAATAGTAATCGTGATGTGCTGGAGACACAAGAGGTTACTAATACATATATGGAGAGAAGGCAAAACAACCATTTCAGGGGCAGATCAGCTACTCACAATACATACGATGATAGAGTGGTGAATGTGTGGAGACAAGCGAATTATAAAACAAAGATGGATGTAACTCCCAAATATCATCCACCCAGAAGAAACTTAGCGATCGAACCGAAAATGATTGCGTTCGACTACTAAGTTGTTTTTCAGAATTTATCAAGCTTCAGGAATGTTTTATGGGTCATCTATGTATGCAATTTTACCGTTTCTTTCGGTGCTATCCAGTCTTTGCCATTGCAATAAATATAATTTATTTATGGTCTTTTAATTACATTGAAAGACGAAATTATCACAAAGAAACACACATATGTAAGTAAGGTAAGGTATCACCCAAGTTCAAACCCGACAGCAAGCTACATCAACATAGGATTAGGTAAGGAAGCAGATCAAACTAAGGGTAGGAAAATTAAAAATGAAAAAAATCACTAAACTACGTGTTTAGGATGCAATCTTGTTCGCGTCTATATAAGCACGCAATCTCAGTATGTGCTCAGCGAAATAGTTGACCATCGAGTTCTGAACAAGTCTCTTGGGCAGGCCGCCTCGTAAATCTGTTTTCATAATCCATTCAAGCATGGCTATATTACTGTCATCACCCGCTGTAACCCGTATGAGAGATGGACCATTGGTTCCCCTATACCAACAAGTTCATTCAAGTTTATTTAGAAAATTAAAATACCTGACGACTTTTCTGTTTCCGTTCGGAGGGCACAATGTCGATTCAACAGACACAAAAATACCGGAAAATGTATTATCTTCGGAGCTCAGAAAAACTCTCCGAATATCACAAAAATCCCTCGACGATATGTAACCCTTCAAAGCAGGAGCAGTCACAGAATAATATAAGTCAGTCGAGGCATTTATCTTTAGAATTGTCTGAACCAAACATTTAGATAACTCATCTCATCATCAAACATCATACCTTCCCCTGTACGACTAATGGGTTCCATTTAAGGACATCAGCCCACATGGCAGTGAATAGGACTATTGGGTTACATGGAAATTGAGCTCTAACATAGTAAGTTTGGTCAGGTCCTTGTAAAACCTAGAATGGACGAAATTGAACGTCTTGATCGAAGTCTTAGACTAGAGTACCGTTGGGTCATCAGCTCTTAACTTCTTCCAACCCCCTAATAAAGCATCTTTCAATAGATTTTCAACAGTCGTTTCAGTTTTTCTCAGAGTCTACACATGTATAATTGAAGAGAAAGTAAGTTGAATGGGTTCTACCTCTTCGTAACTCTCCATTAATTTAGGTGGAATGGATATATTAACAACTGTCCCTGCAGTTTCATCCTCTGAACATCTTGAATGAAAAAAAGGTGAAATAGAGGTCACACACCTGATGAGTAATCAACTGCGCTTCGAAACTCATCATCTGTTGAAAATCGAAGATTATTTGAACTAGCAGACAAAATTTCACGTCTAGTGTTGGCAGACTCATAACCCGCATTGGTACGAGAAGAGACTCTAGCTATTATAGAGTCTGAATTCTCGTAGGAGGATAGAAAAAATTCATCTGCAAGATATGTTTTTGTGGAAGCAAAAGACGTGGGGGAGGAATTGTTGCAGAAGCAGAAAGAAATACGACATACATGATCTCTCGTTTGGTAAAACCTTACAAGGCATCAGCCACAATTGAAACCATGCTATGGAGAAGAACGACAAAACTAAAAGATATTGTGGTAAGCCACCATTTGTTTTCGAGAAAAAGAATAGAGCCTGAAGGAAATGGAATGGGCTATGAAAGAGGAATGACTAACTGACTTTACAAATAATGAAAACAGTGGATATGGCAGTAGTTATAGCAACAGTGTACCATTTCTTACCCACCAGTAGTCCATAGCATAACAATAAAATAATCTGAAAAGGAGCTTACACAAGACATGCACACACACAGTCTTCTTACCATGCGAAAAACCGAGCTAACAACAACATCAAACAGGGAATAATGTATGAATTGGGGGTTGAGGAAGTTTATTTCGTCCAGAAAAATTTTCGACCAGTCATCGCCTTTTGTGATCTAAAGTGTATTAGTATAGCTTTAATCCTCCAAATATGGGAGGGATGAAACTGACAGTGCAAATTAGCCAAAGCAAAATACAGATTGTCGGATCAAAAATTGATACAATAATGAAACGTTTTCTATCCTTTCCGAATCCCGATCCGGCTCCCAATAATGGCACTCTACCGCTCATTTCAACTTATTTTGCAGAAAATATGTTAGCATCGCTAAAATGGAAAAGTTGAGAAGAACAAAAAAACATTTTGTTTTGCAACACACATCTACTGAGAAGATTCATTTTCCGACTATTATTATTACGATCAAAAACCATTATAAGCTCTAATTGCTTGTAAAGTTTGATATCGCATGTGAAACAACTCCTGCCTACAGTATCGATTTGGATGCGCGTTCGTCACAAGACCGCCTCAAATTTCTTTGCCAAAATGGGCGGAGCTTATCTTCATTGCTATGGAACCGCATTCTATCAGCTGAAAATTTAAGTTTAATTTGAAAATATACTTTTTAAAATTTTATAATTAGCATATTCGTTGTAATCTTTCTCTCATATGTGATGAATCACCAGCCTATCAATCGATACCTTTCCTGTTTCAGGCTTTTTTAAACTTTTCACATTTTTGGATGGGTTAGGTGTTTGTGTGTGCTGAGCGCGTGTGGCAAAATATTAAGGTATCATCGATATTTTCGTTGTTTCGCAACTGGCTTTGTAGTTTTTAGAAAATGGCTGGCGTTTTTGATATTGAAATTGAAAACAATGAGGTAAATCCTGAAGGATATTCGTGCGAGGAAATGGATGAAGATAATGTGTATTCCGATGTAGCAGATGTGAGTCTTTTGTTTTTATTTGACATCTCATGTCGTCTGTTTTTCAGGGACAAATCTGGGCTCCTCCTCCCAGTTCTTCGTACACGTAAGAATTCTTTCGCGCTGTCTACAATCTCATCCACATTTTTAAGTGAATGTCCGATGGTTGAAACAATAGAACTGTCTGAATTTTCCGTAAATCCTCCTAACGTCAGAGTAGGACCAGAGGATTTCGAGTTGCTCAAGGTGTTGGGAAAGGGAGGATATGGAAAAGTGAAGCTTAACATGCAGTAGTACTAACTAACAAACCATCGTTTAGGTATTCCAAGTTCGTAAGACTACGGGTCAAGATGCGGGTCGTATTTTTGCAATGAAAGTTTTACAAAAGGCTACAATTGTTAGAAATCAAAAAGATACTGCTCATACTAAAGTAGGAAGCCGTCTGTCAAACGAATTTTCTTATTTTCCATTTTCATTAGGCTGAACGTAATATATTAGAAGCTGTCAAAAGCCCATTTATTTGTGATTTGCTCTATGCTTTCCAAACTGGTGGAAAGCTCTACTTAATTTTGGAATATCTTAGTGGCGGAGAGCTTTTCATGCATCTTGAGAGAGAAGGTACTGCCAGACCATTTTAAAAATTTATTATTTTCCTCTTTTCTTCAAGGTATGTTTATGGAGGACACTGCAGCATTTTATTTATCGGAAATTGTTGTCAGCTTAGAGCATTTACATAGACAAGGTAAGATGCCAATCGATTCGCTCAAGATTCTCATTCTCCCATTTAGGAATTATTTACCGCGATCTGAAACCCGAAAATATTCTGCTTGACAGCCGTGGTCATGTGAAATTAACAGACTTCGGCTTGTGCAAGGAAGCGATCGAAGGAGACCAGAAGACTCACACTTTCTGCGGAACTATTGGTAAACCAGTTTCGCCTGCTTGTTCTCAGTTTTATATCTTTTGTCTTTGCAGAGTATATGGCTCCCGAAATTTTAATGCGATGTGGCCATGGTAAGGAAGTAGATTGGTGGAGCTTAGGAGCTTTAATGTTTGATATGCTTACTGGCGGTCCCCCTTTCACAGCTGAAAATCGTAAAAAAACCATAGATAAAATCCTGAAGGTAATCATTTGGTTGCGTAGTCGACAGGTCTCTTCATATCACTGTTTTAGAGTCGCTTAACTCTTCCAGCTTACTTATCATCTGAAGCTAGAGATTTAATCAAAAAATTATTGAAACGTCACGTGGAAACGAGACTTGGAACTGGTCCTGAAGACGCAGAAGAAATTAAACGTCATCCTTTCTTCAGAACACTCAGCTGGGACCAAGTTTATAGTAGACAGGTACGACTGGTGGGAATAATCTTTCTCTTCGCCTGAAGGTGAACCCCGACTCATATTTGGCTCCTTTCAGACTGATCCTCCCTTCAAGCCCGAAATCGAAAGTGAAGAAGATGCTTCTTTGTTTGATACTCGTTTCACCAGAATGACTCCCGTTGACTCACCTTGCGAGACGAATTTCAGGTTGGTTAATATTTTAAGTTCTTCTTTTATCTTATCAGTCTAGTCTTACCGGTGACAATCCTTTTGTCGGATTCACTTATGTCGCTCCATCAGTTCTTGCTCAAATGTCTAATAATCCTCATGTTAATGTAGCCAGAGCAAAAAGTCCGCGAAGAAATCAGTAAGGTTAACAACTCTTTGACATACCTATATCATGTGTTTAGTGAAATGGTAGCAGGTGCTTTACCAGTGGGTGGAAATAGGTACCGGTATGACGATAATTTGATGGACACATCCCTTTCACGTTTTAATTAGGGAATTTCACAAATTAAGTACCTTTTTCTGGAAGTTTACTTGTACGAACTCATCTCACCTCAATTTTTGTTAAGAATTGAATAATTCTATATTAATTGCATCGAATGGGTATCTATATTCGGGGCGTCGGCGCTCTCTTCCTCCTCCCCTCTCCTCCCTCTCCCTCTGAAAGTCTGCCGATCATAGATTTACCCTTTCAATTTGTGACCAATATTTTCTTCGATAATACTGTGCCTTTCTTTGGTAATCTTGCATGAGATATAACTGCAATCATTTGCTGTAGATTTTTATTTCTGTTGTTCCACACATAGTGCCTTATTTTATTAATGGGATGTTTATTAGAAGATATTTGTTGCTCTGATGGATATGATTATAAAGTTTCTAAACTAAAGTCAAACGTTTTATTTCACTTTCTATGTGTTGGCTTATGTTTAAGATCTTATACTACCTGGCAATTCATCTGGTATTCTGCTGTTCTTTGTGTATTAACTACTATATACTGTTCATCTGTTACATGCAGTTCTCATATCTCTCTTATAACTTAGGTTCTGTGAAACCTCTTATGGCTTAGGCTCAGCCTCAGCCATACGTTTTGTTCCTTTTTTTAATATTTCGTTTTTTGTTCAGATAGAACGAAACTATGGATTATGAAGAAAACGAAGACTGCTGGCTCACACCCAGTCTCAAACAGGTATTCGTTTACTGTTTGTCTGGTTGAGCTCATATCTCTTCAGACTCCATCTACCAAGCCTTTCAATATGAAAGAATTTTTGGGAGAGTTTCAATTGTCGGAGAAGGCATCTGAGCTATCTGAGAAGTTAGCTGCTAACAAACATTGCCGTAAGTTCTATGCTTATGAAAGAGATGTCATCTTTTTCATGTTTTTGCAGACCGTAATGCTCCTGATGGTTGAGGACCAAATACCACAGTGGTTTCTTCTGATAGTGGTTCGAAAACTTCCTCTGGTATTGACTTGTCTTTTGATAGACATGGTCAAGAAGGCTTTAATAACGATGTCAGTTATCAGGGAAGACCTTTCTCTCCTGATTGTCTCGATTTCTCTTCAATTATTTGTGTCTCCGTCTCTCCTACATTCCCTTTTTCATCCACGCCTCAGAAATTGTCAAAACCTCCAGCTATGTTTACAGCTGATATTTCTTCTATCTCACCCGAGTTCAGTTCCGATCGCTCCCTTGCCGAAAATTCCAAAGTAGAAGTTGACACTGATGTCTTCTATGATGCTTTGGAATCTCTCTCGCCTATAACTACACCTGGGACTCTGAGTGTTAAGAGAGGAAGAAGAACTGGCATCCCTATAGCAACAAAGTAAGTGTTCAACAGTGTATGGTGCTATCTTCACTTATTTATAGGCGAAGTGACAAATCTCCCAAAGCATTACTAAACTGAGCGTTAACACTGTTTTAGTAAACCGCATGACCTGTTTTACACCTTTTTCATCTGTTATATGTGTATAGATCACCTGAGAATTTCTAATAATGTACTATTGCAAGATATAAGCTACTGTCGAATGAATGATTGTATTACTGCTCATATGATTCAGATTCTTGAGATAGACTATCTGTTCTTGTTAGATTCATGCTTAGCGGTGTTTCAATGTTCAGTTCTCATAAGTCTCAGAGAGCCTAGAACAGGTTTTGAGCCTGCTCAGCTGGTTTGGCGATTGCGCAATAGTTGCTGATGTCCTGTGAAGAAGGTATTTGAGAATCCTCAAATCACGATACGACTTTATTCTAGAGTTGAATGTACTTTGGACAAGCATGGTTACGATTGTTGACCCAGCATAACTGAGCAGAAGCTGTTTCAATCTGTATGTCAATTTGAACAGACTTAATTTGGTTACAGAGAAAGGTGCAGTCTTCGATGAAATGCACGATCAGAATGAAATCCCATTCAACACCGCTCACAGCGTGCCACACGTGTAAAATGAAATCCCATTCAAC